ATCTTTTTTCTCCGATTAATGTGAGAATTTCTAACCTTTATAGCTAACATGGTGTCTCATTTCAAAGTTGTCTTGATAATATAATAAATAGATTACTAGGTCTTCAAAAAAGCGGAGAAAAATGACAATATGCCACTCCATTCGGTGGGTCTCGACAAAATGCCACCAACTACAATACAAAGAATAAAATGCCACTTAATAGGTTACTTTCAGGACGTTTTGTCACTTTGGAGGATTTTAAGACCAAAATACCCTTGGATGTGGATAAAGAGGAAGAGGGAGGAGCGGGGAAGGTTGAGCCCGACGGAGCTCATGCTTCCCCGCAGCGAGCGCGGGGCGTTAGCTGCGACGACGGACGGGGGGAGGAAGACAACGACGCTGATGGGAGGAGGAAGACAACGACGCTGATGGGAGAGACGACGGCGATGATGGGTGGCGAAGGACGGCGACTGGGGGATGAGGGCGGCGCCGATGGGAGGGAGGAGGAGGCGACGACGGCACAGAGGGCTCTCCAGCGCTGCCCACCCACGCGCTTGTAGCTTGCCGCCTCCGACACCGCCCGCGCGCGTGCTCCATGCTTGCTGCTTCTGGCGCCACCTGCGCACGCGCTCACTGCTCGCCTCCTTCGGCACCGCCCGCTGCTCGCGGCACCACCGTCCTCCTCCCCATCGTCGTCCGTCCGCACGCCCTCACCACCCATCGCTAACGAGCACAGACGCCGCCGTCTCGATGTTCCCTGGTGCTCCCCCTCCCTTCTCTCTTCCTCTCTTCCCAGGGTATTTTGGTCTTAAAATCTTCCAAAGGGGCCAAATATCCCGAAAATAACTCAGTGAGTGGTATTTCATCCTTTACATTCTAGTGGGTGGCATTTCGTCGAAATCCACCGAATGGAGTGGCATATTATCCTTTTTCTCCTTCAAAGCGAAGGTGGTCTCATTTTTAGCTATACTTAGAGTAAATTTTATTTTGCGCGACCTTTTATTACCCGATATTTCATTTTGGACCACCCTTTAACATAGGTTTTCACTTTGGACCAGGTAATCTTCCCTTTGTTCCACTTTAGACCACCCCAACCCTCTTTTCCATCATATAAACAATTCCGAGTACACCGGCTTCCTACTCGTCAATGAATACCCACGGTTACATCTAGACTATTGCTTTGACATATGACAAGTTGATGCATATAGATAAAATAGTTGAGGGTAGTCCAAAGTGCCATAAATGTAAATTTTCCCGGTTCAAAATGAAATATTTGTTTGGTTTGAAGTGAAACAATGTTAATAAAAGGTGACCCAAAATAAAATTTAGTCCTATATTATAAATACTAGTGAGCGAGCACGTGGAAGACACATTGATAGATATAATTGAGAAAAAATACGGTTATTGTTGCTTATTTACTGATACATTATTAAAGAATCATAGTAGGAACTAAGTAAAAAATAATATTATTGTAAGCAATACATTGTTAATTCATGAAATAAACCTTAATTGTTTATTTTGTTACATGACAACCAAATGCAAAAAAGAAAATGGAATATTTATTTGTCATCATCGATTTCACGCTCACTTTAAGATCAGTCCCTCTTAGGAGATGAGGTAGTGTCAGTGTCGCTCGGTTGTAGATTGATTGCCCTGCATCTTAGGGCAATCTTCACCTGATTGTGGAGGAAGATATCGTTTATTAGGTCTTCTCGAACATCTGGATGCACATGTATATAATATGATGCATTTAGTATTATGTTAGTTGCTACATTGAAGCAGCAGAAATGAAATACGTTATGTACCTAGAAGAGGACCGTACATCCCACTGTCTGGCCATAGCGCAACCGGTAATGGTTGTATTGGTCGTACTAACCAGACTTTCTGAAAATCAGGTATAGACTTTCTGAAAATCAAGTATAGATGATCTATGAAGCATTTTATAAATGACATATATTTATTCTATAAAATGCTTCATAGATCATCTATACGCGATTTTCAGAAAGTCTGGTCCGTACGACCAATACAACCATTACCGTTGCGCTATGGCCAGACAGTGGGATGTACGGTCCTCTTCTAGGTACATAACGTATTTCATTTCTGCTGCTTCAATGTATGAACTAACATAATACTTAATGCATCATATTATACACATGTGCATCCAAATGTTCGAGAAGACATAATAAACGATATCTTACTCCACGATCAGGTGAAGTTTGCCTTAAGATGCAGAGCAATCAATCTACAACCGAGCGACACTGACACTACCTCATCTCCTGAGAGAGACTGATATGAAAATGAACGTGAAATCGATGATGACAAATAAATATTCTATTTTTCGGCATTTGGTTGTTATGTAATAAATAAACAATTAATGTTTATTTCATAAATTACCAATGTATTGCTTACAATAATGTTATTTTTTATTTGGTTCCTACTATGATTATTTAATAATGTATCAGTAAATGCTCAACAATAACCGTATTTTTTTTCTCAATTCTATCTATCAACGTGCATTGCACATGCACGCTCACTAGTAATTATAGCTTAAGACAGTTTTCTTATGGCAAAATTTACTAAAGGACACTTCAAAATTGTGTAATTAGCTGTGGGACATCCGAAAGATGTAAATTTGTCCGAGGACACTCTAAAAGTGTGGTAATTTGCTGCAGGACATTGGGCATATTAAAATATAATATCCACTGAATTGATGAGAGAGAAACCACGTAAAATGATTGTTTTGCCCCTTCTCTTCTTCCCCTTCGTCTTCCCCAACACTAGCTGCCTAGCGCCATTGCCGATTTCCGCTTCCTCGGTGAGCCCCGCATCGATTCCTTGCACCTATAGCCTCCCTAGGATCTCTTTAACTCGTTGGGCATACATGCATGGCAGTCCATTGAAGGAATCAAGCCGTCGCCGTTCACCATGCTCAGCGTCCTCGTCATCGCCCACACCGCCGCCCATGTCGCTGCAAGAGACGACATCGAGGTCGTCGCTCCCGGACCGGCTCATCTCGTTCTCCACTGCCACGCCCTCCTCCTCCCCGCCGCTCGGCTGCTGGTGCGGTGGTGACTGATTGGGTGGTTGTGGGGTGCAGGCGATACGGGCAAAGGATCTGAACGAGATGTTCCCGGTGGCCAACGCGGAGGTGGCGCCGATGTTGAACCCGCGAGGGTTCGCGAACCTGCTGTGGAAGCAGCTCAACCACCTCGGTAACACCGGGTTCGACCTGGCGCTGTTCCGCGTCAACGCCTACAGCAACATGCTCTACCTCCATGCCGACTCCACCTCGCCTCTCACGTAAGACATCGACCACTGGTTCCCCTGTGCCCGTAAGAAACACAGAAATTGAACGAACTCATCCCAAGATCCGCTTCGAGATCATTCATTCGTAGATAGGGCTGAGGGCAATTTTGTCGTTTTGAAATTTCTCTCCCATCTTTTTATCAGAAATAATAAAATATTGTCTCGGGTGTCCTACAGCAAATTACATGAATTTTGTGGTATCCATCAGCAACGACACAATTTTACAGTGTCTCACAACCAATTACACAATTTTTGGGTGTCCCAGGGCAAATTTTGCCTTTTCTTATATGTCGTCTCCATAAACCCCATCTTTGAATTGCTGCATGAATCATACGCATTTGGAGCTAAAAACGAGTTGAACACAAATAGTAAAATGTTTTTTTTCAAAGAACTTTAACAAAAGACATATTTCTCACGCCAAAACCGTTATAAGTCTTTTCTTTTGGCATGCTCTCTTATTACCTGCATCGTCATAAATCTTATATAATCAAAGGATATATATAGCTGATGCCATGTAATTTCAGATGGCTGGAACTGCAACCGTCTGGCATGGCCTCTACTCTCTTCGAACACCTTGCGGTTCACCTTGGGTACGTACTAATGTACTATAGTGATCTTTCCACTCCTTGATAGTTGGATTACGTTTCCGGCTGCTAATTAAAGTCGTGCATTCAGTCGTGCATACCGCACACAAATTGTTACATCAAGATTCAAGACCCACCAAGATTTATGCGACGGGACCTATCACGGTATCACCTTTCACATTGTAGGCTGGATACGCTGATTTCAGGTCAGATTCCGCTTGATAGGCACATCACAGGATGGCACACACCAGCCGCCAGAAAAAAAAGCTTTGCACGAGCTTAAAGCGCCAACATGGAAACGTGGTTGCTCTCAGGACACAAACAGTTAAAGTGTTTCCTGATCCCAAGTAAAAAGACGGCCGAGAAGATACCATTTCACGTGGTTGCTCTTAGGACACAAATAGTTACTGAAGCTAAGTAAATTGATCGACTCCTATTTCACGTTCGAGACCCAAAAGAACAAGAAAAATATTGGAGTATGAGTGAAATACAGACTTAAGCTTTTGGTGAAATGGTTTGTGCGCTATCTCACAAATTGCACTGGCTGGTTTAATCATGGATGGAGGACCAAATCTGAAGGAACACTTGAAGCATGGGACGACCCTGCCTTTTCAGGGTGCAGATAGAATCGAAACATGTGCAAAACGAGCTTTTGGAAAAGAAGATGCTAATAAGCGCATCGAATCGAAGGTGATTATGACTTTAAAAAAGGGCGCCAGAATCAAACATGACGAAGTATCTAGGATAAAGACCCTGGTTTTCTGATAAGATAAGATCCGTCTAATACAGTACTAAGTGACTGGTACTGATGGCAATTTTTGTTTGGTTCTCTCCAAATTGGAGTTACTACTACCTAAAGAAGAGAACGCACCAGTAAAAACTAAAAAGACAGTCGAGCAGAAGGCTCTTTGCATCTGTAATACCACCCTCCTTAAGAGGATACAACTCGGTACCGATCTGCGATAAACTGCCTTCTCTTTCCATGGGGCAAACGGCAGAGTGCTGATAAAGGAGTATGCATATGAGGGCTAGGCCATTCTTTACATAAACAAGGAGAAAAGTGATAGGGCTATTGGTTCAAGTATCTCAGGCTTCCTTTGAATAGAGGTTTTTGCAGGCATTTCGAGGGTGTATCTAAAAATCTGTCGCAAGTTTATTGCGTAAAATTTTTCAAATGTAAGTATAGTACAATTTTAGTGTAATTACATTGCAACTATACTAAAGTTACAGTGTAATACATGTAACTAATGAAAAGCATGCATATCTCAGCTGTTAAGGAGTGCTTGGTGCGAAGCAGGGACCCTGAGTTCGATCCACCGGACCCACAGCGCGCCTTCACGAATCTCCGTGCACATCAGATGGCCAGAAAATCAGAAGTTGCCCCAAAATAAAACTGTTGGAAGTTTTTTTAGCGAAACCGTTCCAAAAGGACAGGGAGAGACTTTAGACAAAGGCATGCACAAGTGTACAACGCCAACCAACAAATAAGACGGCTCATCGCACCTTTTAGTAATGTGAATGACAGAATGAGAGAAGAAAGGTAGATAAGAGAGACGAGGAGAAGGAGACTGGCCCTATAGATGGACAGGTTCAGGCAACCAAGCATTAGAGCATTGGGGGAATCCCCCCGTATCTATTAACAAATAATTTCAGTCTGCTAAAATGAGAGAAAAACGGGCACCTAAACATTATGCTGTACTGTGTTTTTGCAAACTTGCAACAGCTGGGATACGTACCAATGTTCAGATGCCAAGTATTCTTGCCATGGTCATGCAGCTGTGTTTCTTGCAGTGCTTTTCGCGCAGATGAAACTTCTACCAGTTTATGCAATTTAAAATCGCATATTTGCATGGCTGCAGTTCCAGATCAACAAACATGTTAGAACTAAAACAAAAAGGAGATAAGAACTATGAATAATCAAAGGGATACCAGAAAGCAGCCTGCACCTTTCCCAATGTTATGTTCCGAAAGATACACAATATTACTGAAGGTAGGGGTGCTAATGGGTGGAAATCCAATCCATTACTGCCCCAACCCACTTCTGTAACAAGCATCCTTCCAATTCAACCCAGACCACTTCTCCTTCTTCAAGCCCCAAACCAATCCAACCCATAAAAAGTTTTGAACCAAACGAGTCCAACCCATTCTAGTTAAGTGGGTTCAACCAATTCTAAATCCATGGACTGAAACCGCAGTGTCCAATCCTTGGTTCAACTCTCTTCACGCACGTACATACATATACATGCATGCGCATATACATGCGTGTATACTACCAATATACACATGTTCCATGCATGGATGCATATATCCACTTTAGTATCACAGAAACTTTAGTATCACAGAAGCTGTGGTTGCAGCGCCCAGCCGACCACCGGCGCCGCCACAGAGAACTCCGGCCACATGGGAGCACCTCCTCCGGCCAGTGGCGGAGCCAGAAATTATACAAGACTAGGCCTAAGGTAGGGCTCGACTAATGGAGTATTAGTTTTATGAAAAAATTACATGGTGAATCAACAAAATTTAAGCAAGTTTTTGGAGGCAGGCCGCCCTAGGCCTGCCTCCGCCCCTACCTCCGGCCGCCAGCTTCCATGTCTCCACATTTTTGCTGCTGTCTCCACAGAGCAGAGGTGACGACGTCGTCATCGTTAGTGCCAATGATCCGCTGCCCCATCTGGGGCTAAGGCCATGGAGGCCGACAGCTACCAGCCACCTCGTCTGCAGCGCCGCTGGTGACATGGTGGCCCAGACCAGGCAGGCCAAGGTTGAGGTTGAAACCCATGCCAACGCACCCCTCCAGCAGCGGTGCCGCACCGAGCACGAACAGCGAGTCAGAGCAGCTGGCCCACATGCTGGGCAGAGGTCGCCGGCGGCGGCGGCAGGATGATGATGATGAGCCGGTGGTGATCTCGCCGCCATGCTCCTGCCAGCGGTTGCAACGAGTAGTGACACAGAAGGGTGTGGGAGGCAGAGAGGAAGGTGGCAAGCCACCGGCGGCGTCAAGCGAAGTGGTGGTGGTGCCGTGGCTGTCAATGTCATAGGAAGACGAATGTGATTTGGGGACAATCCAGTGGAAGCCCATGGGCTGAATCCACTTTCTACCCAAACTTTCCTAACCAAAACCAATCCAATCCAAACCGTTTTACATCTCCATCCAACCCACCCCAGCCCATTAGCTGCATCAATCCATTTCAACCCATCCAAAGCCAACCCACACTGAAATCCAATCCATTAAATCCATTAGGATCCAATCCATGAGCAGGCCTAACTGAAGGCATCAAAGTTGGCAAAGTTGATGATGTAGTAGCCCCTTTTTCCCTGAAACATAACAGAAATGCATGTAACTTCACTATTACAATGCCATTATTCCAGTGGGTGACAGTGTCTCATCAATTCAGACTAGCTATCTAGTTTAGTTTGCTACTTGCAAAAGAGCTCCTGAGTATGACTTTTTTTTGAGAGAGAGAGAAGCTCCCGAGTATGACTTTACTCACACTGGTGTTCGGGCACGAGCTCCAGTTAGGCAGTGGCAAACTGACAACATAATATTACAATAACTGAAGTTTGTAAAACAGAAACAATAAGAAATGCAAGAAACCAACCTTCAAAGTATTTTTCTCTTTCTGACAATTATGCTCAGAAATTGACATTTTCTACAGTTTTATACAGTTTGCACCCCCAAAAGCATGTCTCACTGGTTAAGCAATGAAAGACTGCATAAGAAACCAAATTATCAGACACATCATCAGGATTCAGGAGAAAGAAAAATCAGGACATGAATACCAGTTGTACTTCTCGCACAACATTTTGGGGGAAAAGAAGCATGTGAAACTCAAATTCCAAGGTAGCATCAAACCTGCAATTTTGTGGTACCCCCCATGACAATGCCCCAAATCTTTTTAAGCTTGGTGGCATAGACATATAATTCCTCCAGTCTTCCATTATGACTCTTAGATCATGAAGTTTGCTCTGTAATCCAATGCAACAGTTTGCATGCATAGTGCAAACCTTGTTTAAATCTCTGCTGGGTTCACAAATGCCACCAAAGTATGTAGTGCTTAGGAACTTAATTTTCAGTCCAATATCTGTAATGTAAGGATCATGCTTTATAAAATTAAATACATCCTGATCATGATAGCCAGGATATCTCAGTCGCGAAGAATACCAAAACTTGTAGAATTCTATACTTTGATTGTTTGACCTCACATAGTTAAATCCCCCGTTTGCTATGTTCCCCAAATCAGTTGCATTGCCTACATAGTGATCACATGCAATCTGAAAATCTCCATCAGGATAGAAATGAGGAAAAGGATTGCGGAACCACGTGATGTCTGCATCCTGAAATGCAGATAAAAAATATGTCAGGTGTGACTAATAAGAAACTCTATTTCAGCTTCACATCTGCTAATTTTTCAGGAAAATATACAGCCCTATGTGCGTATAAAAGCTGATTTTCAATATAGATAGGACACACTCAAAATGCAATTGACTTTACCGAGAAAATGAAGCTGTAACCTTTTTCAAGAACTAGCCGCAAGAAATCCAGCCTTTTCCACATCATGTCCAGATAACCAGCAGTCAGAAACCTCTTCTCTTGAGAAAAATCCACATTCTCGGTTGCAAGAGCAAAGCAGTATGCGTGGATCTTCATACACCTTTTGTAAGCCTTCCAATCAAATGTTATTATCACAAGATGTCTCAAAAGTGAGCTAGTCCTAACACCACGGCGAAAACTGTCGATAAAAAGATCAATGACCGAGCCTGAAGAAGCCCATGCAGCATTCAGTGTTGTCAATATAATGGTCTTATTATCCATGGAGGCCTCCTGCAGAACTTGCTCAAGTTTGAGGTCGTCACTGTCCTAAAAGAAAATGCAATAAGCCAATAATCAAAATGCAGGTCTATTAGCTCTACTTGATCTGATGATCTCTCGAATTCAATGACATATCAGACAGCAGTGAAATTGGAAGAAATTGCATCCGCAAAGGAAAGCAGCAATATACTATGGCTTATTGTTCACGAATCTATTAGTTTTCAGATTTTAATGGGAGAACAAATTATTGGATGCTATGTATGATAAGCATTCATTGCAGAATTGATATGACGAACAGCATGAAATTTTGACCCGTGAAACAAATATAAGGAATCTTGACCCGTAAATCACAATGACGGTCATTTGATTATTGTTCATTACTGCAATGCGTATCTGTAAGTCATAGTCGATTGAATCAGTTAATGGAGTGTCAAACAGGATCGATGACTAAAAATAACCTCAAAAGCGAAATGAGTAGAAGTGAGGTATAAACCACGCGATTCACTAACAACGGCACGCAGAAAACCTATATATATATATATGCTAAGCACAGCAATTCGCACCTCAGATAACTAGAACCGCTACAGAAAAACTCAGGGGGACAAAATTAAACAGCAGAAACGACGGGGAGGAGGAGGTGGAAGCAAAGCGCACCAGATCGTCGGCCGCAGCGGGATCGACGTCGCCGTCCTCCTCGGGGACCACAACAGCAGGGGGCGGCTGGCCCCGCTCCCACCACGGCCCGCGATCCCATCCCACCTGCACCGGTTGGACCGCGTCCAACACCGCGGCGCGGTACAGCACGGCACAGGGCAGCGCCACGGCCGCCGCGAGCAGGAGCGCCGCCGCGGCTTTCCGGAGAGCCGGCGCGGACAGCGGCAGCGACGGCTTCGAGTGCCCAGGGAAGTGACGGAGGGAGGTGGCGGACGTCCGTGCCACGGTCTGGTTCGGCAACGGCCTCGCCATTGCGAGAGCGGCGGCGGCGGCGGCGGCGGATGACCACGACACCGACGCGGACACGCGGCGCGGCGGGGGACGGGGAGGGGAAAGTGCAAAGCGGCAGCGTAACGGTCGGTGAAGGCGTAAACTCGTGGTTTCCGTAAACGCAGCGTTAAAGCGGATACCGCCTACGGGAGAGAGAGAGAGGGGATAGCCGCTCGCACGTGAGGCGGCCGCACACGCGGGCTGCCAGATGGGCCACCGCATGCGAGGTGTCACTCGCGCGGTGCACCGCTGCACCATCACCGCCTTCCAGTCTCCATGACCGATCGGGCCCACTCTTGGTCGCTCTACCTGGCCCCACATGTCATCCACTCGTGCTACGCAGCAGTTGAGCAATCGGTGATTAAAAAAAAATTCCACACCCAAACCCTAGCCCCGCACCGATCCCTCTCCCTCTCCCGCCGCCACCGCCTCCGCCTCCGCCTCCCCTCGCGCCGTCGCCGTCGCCAAGAGCCGCCACTTCCGCTTCCGCCTCTGCCTCGTCCAAGTCCAAGCCAACTACCTAAACCTAAACCCTATTCTTCTTCTTTCGCCTCCGCCGCGATGTCGTCGGAGCCTCCACCCGATGCCGCCGCCGCCGCCGCCTCCTCCGCGGGGGATCTCGCGGCCGATCTCTCCTCCGCCACCATCAGCAAGAAGCAGCTCAAGAAGGATGCGAGGAAGGCGGAGAAGGCCGAGAAGGCGTCGCAGCGCCAGCAGCAGCAGCAGCCGCAGGCCGACGCCGACGACCCCTTCGCGGCCAACTACGGCGACGTCCCCGTCGAGGAGATCCAGTCCAAGACCATCTCCGGCCGCGTGTGGACCGAGATCGGCGGCCTCGACGAGGCCGCCGCCGGCCGCTCCGTCCTCATCCGCGGCGCCGCGCAGGCGATCCGGCCCGTCAGCAAGAAGATGGCCTTCGTTGTGCTGCGCGAGAGCATGAGCACCGTCCAGTGCGTGCTCGTCGCCAGCGCCGACGCAGGGGTCAGCACCCAGATGGTGCGCTTCGCCACCTCCCTCAGCAAGGAATCAATCGTCGACGTCGAGGGCGTCGTCTCCCTCCCCAAGGAGCCCCTCAAGGCCACCACGCAGCAGGTCTGCTCTCTCCACCATTATGTTGGGTCAATATGATCATCAATTGCATTTGCATCAACCCTTGGCCGCAGTTGATTAGAATATGCATTCGGATAGCCCTCTTGTGATAGCTCTAGAATGCTGAATATTTCATGTTAGATGATGGTTCTGCAATCGATTGGAATTCACATTGTGATAGTCCTCTTATGATACCTCTTGGAGGCTGAATATTCATGTATGGTGGTTTTTGTTGGACTTTTTGTATCCATCTTAATTTACCGTCACAATTAGCTCGATTTAATCCCGCAACATAACTTATTATACGGTGTGCACATTTAAAACTGTGCTTTGTTTCAGTTAGTACTAGCTAATGAAGTGTCTTTTGTTTTTGCTGGCAGGTGGAGATTCAGGTGAGGAAGATCTATTGCATCAATAGGGCGATCCCCACCCTTCCAATCAACCTTGAGGATGCCTCACGGAGTGAGGCTGAAATTGAAAAGGCTGAACAAGTATGTATATGTGCAACTTGCTTGTACATCCACAATGTATATTTACAGGATGCCTATAAATATTATAATCATTGTGAGACTTAAGAAATTAACCACTGCTGCCGTTTCAGGCTGGAGAGAAGCTAGTTCGTGTGGGCCAAGATACTCGCTTGAACTATAGAGCTATTGATCTCCGGACACCTGCAAATCAAGCAATATTCAGAATTCAATGTCAAGTTGAGAACGTGAGTATTTATTTATTTATTTTTACTGTTATCATTTTTGTATTAGTGGATTGTATTGTGCCAACGATGCTATGTGATCTATAGCTCAGTTAACACATTAAATTTTCCATTGAATAAAAACTACTCTGGCAAATGTTCATGCTTTCAGCTTAGTCAATCTTGCAGTAATAAACATTTGCCTCTTGGGAACTAAGCTCAAACTTTGCACAAGTTATTGCTGTTTGGAGATATACTGATTTGGTGACCCCAAGATGTTCCCAATAATCTGTGCCTTGCAACTTATCTAATTGCACTTGTCAAGGGTTAGATTCAATATGTTTGTCTTGAGTGAAGGCCATGCGTGTAGTATATATTCATGTCCAAGCCTTATGTAGGCTAATTCTTAATTCAGTGGAGGTTAAACAACGAGCTTCTATTATGTTTTCTATCGCGTATGAGCGTGTTATATTCATTATGGAAATTAAATCGTTGTCATGTATTTTGCAGAAATTCAGGGAATATTTTCTGTCGAAAAATTTTGTTGGGATTCACAGCCCAAAGCTAATTGCTGGATCCAGCGAAGGTGGTGCAGCTGTATTCAAGCTACAGTACAATGGACAGCCAGCATGTTTAGCACAGTCTCCTCAGTTGTATAAGCAGATGGCTATTTGTGGTGGGTTTGAACGTGTATTTGAGGTTGGACCTGTTTTTAGAGCTGAGAATTCAAACACTCACAGGCATCTGTGTGAGTTTGTTGGCCTTGATGCTGAGATGGAGATTAAGGAACATTATTTTGAGGTAAGGAAAATTGGATGAAAGATGCTTTGTATTAGTATAAGCAAAGTGATGCTGACTAAGTGCTGATTTCTCAACACAGGTTTGCGACATAATAGATGGTTTGTTTGTAGCAATATTTAAACACTTGAATGAAAATTGCAAGAAAGAACTAGAGACAATAAACAGGCAATATCCATTTGAACCTCTGAAGGTGAACAAGTTCTTGCCTCTTTTTGTTCCCCTTTTATAATATTATCTAACTCATATTTTGATACTATATTAGCTAACTCATATTATGCTAATTCATACAGTATTTAGAGAAAACTTTGAAGCTCACGTATGAAGAAGGAATTCAAATGCTGAAGGTAAATATCTTGTTTCAGTCATCATCTCTATGTTACCTCTTATTTGGTATGGGTGAATTTCTGAACATATGTCTGATCTATTGAATGAACCATATTCTAGCTGAGGGTAATATATGATTTTCTTGTTGGGCCTTATATGAGAAATCTACTAATGGCCCAGGTTTTTACTGAGAATCCTAAATATTTCATGAGCATAATTTACATGTTGGTATGCACATTGTGTATTTTAGCAATTTAATGTAGTTCACATCTTTGTTGCAATTTGGACCTACTGACCCAGATATTGGTTGGTAAAAGCTTCAGTCATTGCTTCATCCTGAAATAGCAACCTTGACATTTTCAGTCATAGAATCTTACCAAATAGATAGATTTGTTGGACATTTTGACAGATGTTCATGGACTAAGCCTAGTAAGCTACCTACAATGGATACCAAAGAATCTTGTCTGGTAATTTGGTTTGTTAACATTGACCAATTCATGACATTAAACGGAAATTATTTTTCAAAAAAAAAAAAAGAACAGTGATGAATCTTGATCAATCAAATCTAAAGAATGGGACTGGGGAGAGATTCAACCCCACAGTATTTTTTTTTAGTACGAGGGAGGAAGTGAGCACACCAACCGTGTTCGCAGCTCACTCAAATTTGATATAATGAAATCCTGTTTTTGCTAAATATCTAGTATGTTAGAAACATGTTATTGGCAACTTTGAAGTAGAACAGGTGTACAACTTACAGATATACTGGGTTATCTGGGTCGTCTTTTTTAGTAAAACCAGATTTAATTGTTGAACTAATTTTTTGCTTAGGTGTTGGCCTAAAATGCTTTCACAGAATTATATCCATAGCGATTAACATCGTGGTTTGTCCTGGCAGGAAGCTGGAACAGAAATCGAACCCATGGGTGACCTCAACACTGAAGCTGAGAAAAAACTAGGCCGGCTTGTTAAGGAGAAGTATGCAAATTCAGCCTGTAGTTACTTATTCGCTTCTTTTCAAAAGAAAATGTGGTTTGACAACTTGCTACATTGTCTGTAGGTATGGAACAGAATTTTTCATCCTCTATCGGTATCCTTTGGCTGTGCGTCCCTTCTACACCATGCCTTGTTATGACAACCCAGCTTACAGTAACTCTTTTGATGTCTTTATTCGAGGTACGTAAATTTGTTTATTTCTTTGAGATGTTTGAATTTATTACAGTATATTTCAGTGTCATGCATGCATGTGTGAGGATAATGTTACCTGAGCAGGAAAACATTATTTTCAGTCCTGCTGCTTATAAATCCTTTGTATTTTAGAGCCATATTGTTGTGAATCACTATCCTATATGAAATTAGTAATGACTTCCACTTTTCTTCATTGCATAGTCTGACACGCAAAAAGATAGATAAAAATCATGACTTGACAGAAAGTAAACCAGAATATGCTCTATCCTGCCAAGGACTTGAATTCGCCACGGGGATTACTTAGGATGGCACAGAAATGACCAACACCTATTTTTAGTTAGTCGCTTAAATGCATTCCATCCAATATGATGTGCTAATTGGTCCTGACGGTTAGCTTGATTGAGTGTTTGATGGTGCATCCTATAGCCAACCTAGGTCTGCACAACCACATTGAACTTTGCTATCAATTTAAATTTAGTGAAAATTTATTCCTTTATTATAGTCGTGTTTGCGTCATCTTATCTACTTCCATCAGTAGTCACTATTTGCTATCACTGAAGAAGATATTCATCATGTGTAGAAGCATCCTGTTGACCATTTTTGTGATATGATAGGAGAGGAAATAATATCTGGAGCACAAAGAATACATTTACCAGAGCTATTGACGAAACGTGCAACAGAGTGTGGAATTGATGCGAGTACTATTTCATCATATATCGAATCGTTCAGGTAAGTTTATTTGTTTATCATGTTGTTAGTCCTCTAATATTGCAACATATGTTGTAATGCTCATCCAATTTTCTTCTTGTCATCATCTAAATCACTTCATTCAACTCATTTCAATATATGGGTCATCATTGTAGCTATGGTGCACCTCCTCATGGTGGTTTTGGTGTCGGCCTGGAGAGGGTGGTAATGCTGTTCTGCGCCCTAAACAACATCAGGAAGACATCACTTTTCCCTCGCGATCCACAAAGGCTGGTGCCATAATTTGCTTTTTTTCCCAAGAGCAAGGTTTGGACTCAGTACGGACTGGGCAGTTTTCCTCGGCTGGTTTTTTTACCTGGACATTATTTTCGTATTTATTAATGTGCTGTACTGCAAAAGCTGCTCCTTTCCACAACATTTGGAATAGTTGCCGATACATTTGGAATAGGGCTCAACGTTGGCGTTGTGATTTCGTTGATGATTCCGCTATTCGTAACAATGGCGAATCCAGAGCAGAAATGACCCTATGTCAGAAACATATCACATACTCGTATGCCTATATTTCCAAAAGATAAGGGATTATGGAAGGATGACATATTCAAGTCCCAAAATACAAGGTGTGGTTTGACTCGTGGTCTTCAACATCCAACTTTTGATTGTCATTTTCTGTCATGGTACCACCTTCATCCTAATTTGACATTCTCTAAGTAGAAGGCACCAATACCAAGAAAAGTGTGAATGACTTATATTTTAAATATTGGATGTCATTGCACCATTAGAAATTAATCTTGTTGGTTGCATGTAACACATTCAATGATGCACATTACTCACATTACTCTTTGTACAAATAAACAAAATGACACTTGTTTAATGATGATCATTTTGGAAAGACCCCAGAAACCTTATGGGATGATCAAAGTGGGATGGAGGGATCATATTATTATCCATATTGAAACCAACTTCACATGTAAAAGAACATCAAAATATGAATCCAACAAGACCGTATTTATATCAGTAAACCTACACATTATATATTATTAGACTAGTGGTTAGAAAAATTTATAAAATTCAAATCTTATACGTGCGTACCTTACAGTTCGAGATGTCGAGGTGGAGGGAGTAACTATCTTAGGTCATTATTACACAAGATGTAATGAAGTCACTTGTTTATATTGATTCCTAGATAATCATCATAATCTATACCACTTTTTTTTCAAAAAAAAAAAAGTAATGGTGGTAGCAGTGACCACCACGCCATCAATAACATGTGATTTCTCATATATACATCTTAAAGTTTTCTAAACCATTTTAAAAGAAGGTAATAATGAAACCATCTTAAAAGAAGGTAATAATGGTGACAGTAAATCTGTTATCACCGTCCCATCAATAACATGTGATAACATGTGGTTTCTCATATGTACTCCTTGAAGTTAAATAAAGAAATGAGTAATAGGAGTAGGTTTTGTTTTAACTAGAGAGAGAAGTGGGTAGCTACATCAAAATTTGAACGGTAGGATTTGATTTTAGGATGAATTTAAGGTTTTTTTTCAATCTCTTTTCATAATTATTAAGATAAGTAAAAGAATTCATAATTTTATTATTAAAAATCAAAGAACAAAATTATTGTATATCGACTAATATATAATGATGTAGCCATATTTATTTTCTCCACGTGAACATGTAATGCCATATGATTCTCTTTTAATCCCGTAACAGTGTAAAAGCATTCTGCTAGGCAAGTTTTAATATAGCTAATGTATAATATTTAATCATTGTCACAAATGTAGCAACCTACGACATGTAAAATATAACCGAAACTGTCTAAACTGTCACTATTATTATTTGATCTATTATTATCTGATGAGTCTACAAACAATCTATCCCGAGAAGATAAATAAATCTTCATCCTTACCCTTAATTTCCTTAAATCTCAAGTGCATGTGCTACCTACGTATCAAAATATATGATGTTATATGAGATGTACAAAGTATGTATGTGCTTTTTTTTTTAGATAATGATGTATGTGCTTCTTTAAAAGGAAGTAATAGTAATAATAAGTGATGAATCTACAACCACTCCTACCACCAACTCCCTACCTTTTTAGAAAGTAAAATGACACGTAGGTCTAGACGATCCACGTGTTAACCAGCCCCACCATCATTTTCTACATACATAATCTCTTATTTTTTTATACATTTGTTATTGACATGTAGGCAGTAGCATGTGGCCTGTATGAGGCGGGGGAGGGGGGTGGTGAAGTGAACGGTATTAAAAGTTTACATGTAGGCACAATGTGACCAAATGGCCTACATGTCAATAATAAATGTATAAAAGAATAAGAGATTATGTGTGTAGAAAATGATGGTAATAACGGCTTAATGATTATTTATTTAATTAATGGGATAAGTACATTTTACTCTCCTTAACTCTTCGTTTTGTCTAAAATGCACCCTCGATCTTCAAAATCGGGTATTTAACACACTTAAACTTTTAATACCGTTCACTTCACCCCCCCCCCCTCATACAGGGCCACATGTCACTGCCTACACCTCTTCTTCTACCTCCATCTCCTCTCCCCTTTCTCTTCTCTCTCTATATATATCCTTCTTCTTGACAGCCAAACCTCCATGCGCTAGCTGCTGCTGCGCCTCTCTCTCTATATCCTTCTTCTTGGACGGCCAAACCTCCATGCGCTAGTAGCGCCTCTCCTCAGTCACCACCGACCTCGGTCACTGGTTATTCCTCGCCGACCCCCACTACTATAGCTCGTCGGTGACCACCCTGAGCTCGCCCTGTGTGTTGCAGCTCACTTCCCAGATATCGACGAGGAGAGCGGCGTCGCGGTAGACGCACTGTAGTGGTAGCCCCCTTGAGCTCGACGAGGAGAGCGGCAACGGCAGCCTCCCCGAGTTCACTGAACTGGACTAAGAGAGCATAGGGCAACTCAGGCTCTCCAGCGGCATCGGCGAGCTCACCCCAAGTCCCCATGCACGTGGATCTGGCAAGCTCTGGCCCTCTTGCGTGGTTGATGCCTCAGGACCCCAAATCCACCTCAAGGAGGCAAGTCGATTTGTCGTCGCCCGGATCTACGTGGATCTACCGTCACTCCATCGTCCTTGTCAGTGGCGAGAGAGCGGAGGGAGAAAGGAGAGGGGTGATGCGACGACAAATGGGGACGGGGACAGATCGAGCAGCTCACTAGTAAATTCGGTTTCCCCATCAAGTTAGTTCGTCACCGACTACCGCGGCGTCGCCAACCGTCAAGTAGATCTCAAGCTCTGTCTCCCTCTCCGACGATCTCTACCCCATCCATTATTGAGCGGCACCACAAAGGTCGTCGAGGTGGTGGTGCCCGATGGATGAGAGAAGAAGTAGAAAGGAGAGGGTGGAAGATGGGTGTCCCCTACATGCCCAACCTTTTTTTTATGTGTCAATTGGACCACCACGTTAGTTGCATATAGGCAAAGCCAGCATGGTTTGAAAAAAAAGGTTATTTATTGGTATTGATAGTTAGGAGGTGTAATATACCCAGTTTTATAGTTTGGGGGTGTGATTTAAACAAAGACAAGAGTTGAGGAGGGTGTGATTTATCGGCAGTGTCATGTTTTTTCGGTGTCCTCTAACCAATTACACAGGTTTTGATGTACTGTAGTAAATTTTGTCTTTAAACAAATATATGAGTTGAGAAGGGTAAAATGGACTTATCCTTTAATTAAAATTTGAGTAAATTTCACAAAACAACAGGTATTCTGATCAAACTATCGCAAAACTATATATTTAAGGCGTTATATCACAACTACAGATTTAATACCATATTTATCACAAAACTACATATTTAAGGTTAAGTATCACAAAACTGTATATTTAAATCTTTTTTTACGGGGAACTGCATATTTAAAATTGAAGTTATCACAAAACTATATCTTTTAGAGTTTAAACCCCTAGCACCATTATTATGCTAGAGCTATAAACATTATTGTTTTATGACCAAATTGGTTCTAAACATATAGTTTTGTGATAATTTAGTTACCAAACATACAGTTTTGTGACAATTCATCTTAAACGTATTCTGCGATAAATTTAGTGTTAAATCTGTAGTTTTGTAATAGTTTAGTATAGTACATGTAGCTCTTAAAATTTTGTTGCAATCGCACGTGCAGTAGGCTAGTACCAGCAAAGCAATACGGTGCGCATCACAGCACAGCACAGGGCAAGGGACCGCAGAGGCGCAAACCGTTTGCTTCTAACTACCGCGGGGCCAACGAACTTTTCCTCTCCTTCCCGCATCCTCTCCACCTCTCGTCCTCCCCCTCCCCTCCGCTCATCGTGCCCTGCTCCGCTGAGCACGCCGCAGCTCCGGATCTGTGGAGCCGGGGATCAGGCAGGCGGAAGCGAGGTCGTGTCTTGGCACTTCTGTGGCTGGTTCTTTCGTAGCTCTAGAGAATTTTGGTGGATAGAGCGCCTCGATCGGAGAATTCGGGGGGGACGAGATGGATGGTCTGCCTGCGGAGCTGTGCATCAAGATCTTCCACCTCCTGGATCACCAATCTCTCGCCTCTGCTCCCCAAGGTGCCCTTTTTTTGTCTGCTCTTTTTACTGCCTTGTTTCTCACGATTCTTAGTGCATCATTCTTGCCACTGTCGCATTCAGACGTAAGCGCTAGCAAATTGCATCATGGTGCCTCTTCTTATCTTATGCTAATGGTTCGCAGTTTAACTTAAATCATGGCCTTAACAAGTGCTGTTGCAAAATTCAGTGTGCAGGAAGTGGAACACGTTGACCTCCGACGACGAGCTGTGGCGCAGGCTGTTCAAGGACAGGTGGGGAGCGGATGCTGCAGCGTTCTACGCGCCAGAGGGCTCCAGGTCATGGAAGGACGTCTTCATTGTGCAGGATCGATGCGACCGATATGGGCTGTAAGTTGCCATCGAATTCACTCGCCTATCATCCCGCTCGAGCTGTACTTCTTATCTTGGCATGCCTACTGTCACGGTGTCCCCTGATATTCAGACGTGGCACACATTCTGTAGTACACTGCAACAATGTCACTCTGAAGTACTCCTATATGAACTCTGAATACTGTAAGTTACGCCTCATTGATCTTTCCAGGGGTGTCAGGATTATCAGAGAAGGAAGCGATTACTACCTGATTTACCAGGGTGAGATCCAGAGGTACTTGGGGTCGAGACAGCATGTGAGCTGCGATAGCAAGGACGCTCCTGCGCAGAGTAGCGAGGACGAGCAGCGGCAGATATCCGATCGGATCTTGTTCTTCCTTGGAGACCTGGAGGCTGCATGCGCAGATGCCAAACGTGTGAAGGTGCGACGACCGTGATATCCAGGAACAGCGCTGTATGACATTGTAGTTGTTATTTTTGCACATATTTCGTGCACATATGTTGTATGTAAAATCTTCAATCCATTATCCGTAGCGTTTCACATTCATCTTATGTATTTCCTCATTTTAAAAGTAAAAAGTTTGTAAATCTGCGCTAATCGCCTTTTACTTTTAGGCTTTTAGCAAAGCACGTGTAGCATCATCTGGTAATTTTTCCGCCGTAAGTAAATGTAATAGTCATTTAGCTGCAAATGCATATATGCTTACCACGACAAATGGATATGTCCCATCATCTTTTCTAATCTTTATAAAATGTAATCATAAACTCGTCGTTCGAGATTAAAAAGGCAACTGGCCTCTCCTGTCAGCTAAGGATGTTTTACGCAAGGAACATGAGTACTCAAATGTCAATTACGAGTCAATAATAACATGAAGTTCAACTGGTTAACTGTGTTACTGCAGCTCATGGGTGACAGTGCGTTACTGATTGAAGCCTCCGTCGAACGTTGAGTCAACACTTGATAGCAGCTCTTGCCATTTCCAACGCTCCCTCATACGTCTTATTGCCGCCAATGAAGCCGCTCATATGAACAAAGACACATCCTGGAATGCCAATATCGTTTGACAGTTCATCATCTCTCAAGCCCCTCCACTTTTCCGGCAGAGGCTTTCGGCTCTCAAATCTATCCGGAGCAACGCCAACAGCTTGTACTCTCCAACTTTTGCTCCTCTCATCCTGCAATTACGTTATCCAAATCAGCATACGCAGACATCAATACTTTTAGCATGCTACTGGCCAACGCTAGAAAGAGAGTTTATTCTATGATCAGAAGTTCAGAACTACAATTTTAAGTGCATAAACAAGGGCCCTTTTCCTTCTTTCTTAGATTGAATAAAACGGTGTTTGACGAGAGTAAGACAAAACAAGGTGGAAATCAGCAAGACCACCCTAAGGGTTAATGACAAAATGGAGGAAACATGGCATAGTATAAATGATTGCACTTAAAGTAAAATTTACTTTCAAGGCTGTGAAACGTAAATCCAAAAGAAAACTGAGTCTCTGCTAGAGCTTCAAGCTACATGCTACTTCTCGATTTCAGCTTATGCAACTAGAACTACATCAAGATATTCATATCATAGGCTGAGAAAGGCAACACTTCTCACCTGGTACAACACATACTTCGTGAGGGGATCAATCTTCAGCTCCTCTTCAAGCTCAAACAGATGAAGTTTCCACTGCAATGATAATAAGAGATTCTCAAATTACATGCTTGGAATGATTCAATATGTTAGTCAATTCAGCAGGGTATTCCTGAAAAAAGATCTTACTGGGCAGAATCTATCCAAAACCATAATTTCTTCACTTGGATCAACCTTTCCTCTTGACAACAAACACTCCAAGACAATAGATCTCGCAGGTAACCATGACTTAACATGAAAGCGAACACTCTGGAAGTGAAGGTGCAAAATATTATCATATACAAAGAGATGAATGGCGACACACTAAAAACAAAGTTCTCATGCAGTAAACTAACGTATCACATACAGAGACTATTATACCTCCATAAATTCACTTCCAGCAAGCATCATTGCCTGTTGAAATGCAGCATTTTCCTTCTCAGGTGACTGGTCTGGATCGGTCCAGTCTGGATTAAGACGCCCAACGCGTGAAGACAAGTGTGTGTTGTTCACATACTTTGGGGGTTGGTCTGTGTCATATTGATTGATTCCGTTGTCGACTGCATCAAGCGCCTGTCACATGACAAAAGTTATTGTTTCTCTGGGATCATGCAGAAATATTGGGGTAGATGCATAAACACATAAATTAATAACAGTGTATAAAAGATGTCTTAAGAAAAAATGATGTGAATTGATGCTTTATAGATTGAAGCTTTCTACTCCTTAGTATAACGGTTAAACTTAAACAAAAAAAATTACTTGCATTCAAGTATATCTGATGCCTCTACACCCTTCTCTGCTAACTTTATAATTGGCACCAAACGCAGACTGGATAGTAATCATATTTTGCCACATACAGTGCATGCAGCCTATCAAGCTAATTCAAAAGTAGATCGTGAAAAGCCCATCAAGGTAATGCAAAAGTACGGATGAAACATTGAAGCATTAACCTTGTAGTAGGCAGTCGCTAAGCTATGATATTTGTTAGTTGGTTCCATGCTCCTAAGATAAAACAAAGGATCTAATATGTGCCTAGCAAATATTTCTTGCTGTATGTCTGCTAGTGGATGTATAATGGAGCTGCAATTTATCAACTATTCTATTCCCCTTAAGGGCTTGTTCGGATAATCCCACCAATTAACCCACGAACAAGGGGATTGAGGGGGATTGGAGGGAAATAATTCCACACCCCCTCAATCCCCTCCAATCCCTCCTTCTCCTTCCTTGTTCGTTTACTTCTCCTTCCTTGTTCATTTAATCTCCATGAAAGAAGGATTGGAGTGTTTAATCTCCATGAAGGAGGGATTAGAGGGGATTGAGGGGAATAATTCCACAACTCCTCCAATCCCCCCTCAATCCCCTTGTTGGTGGCATTAACCGAACAAGCCATCATGGGGATTAAACGAACAAGGCCTAAAGGGTGCTCACTACTGCTATTCAAATAATGCCGATGCACAGATTTATATCACCAAGACATTAACACAGTAAGCATACTCAAGTACTCAATGGTGATATCTGGCACGTCAACACTTCTTAGGTCAAAAAAAGACAGAGTGATGCAGACGTCCAAATAAATCAGGCGATTTCAGTGTATAGTTATAGACTGAACACAACAAAGCACACCCACAAGGCAAACATTTACCTAAATTCCAGCCAACCTTTGATTCTCTCCAAAAAAAGAGTTGGCAAAAGTGGCAAAACAAACAGAAATGGAAGTTTAAAAGAAGAGATCTTACTCAAGATTCAACATAATCATTTAGTGTATCAAAAGCACGACAGTAAACATTCAAAGGTTGATTATCTGTGCAGCTTCATACCTCAACAAAGCTTTTATATATTGCAAGATACAACCGATGAACATCTTCATGGTCTTCACTAACTTCAAGCTCCTTTGCAATTATCTCCTTACCAAAGTGCTGTAACATCAAGTCAAGAATCAGTGGTAAACATCTGAACTATAGTCATGGTCCTCAAATGGCAACTTGTAAATTTCAATGGTCTAATACATCATGCTGGACAACCAAGGAGGAACTTGGTGTCAAATAATTAAGAAGAATCCATGAGCACATCAAGGATCGAACGCAGGAGGATCACAAAAGGACTGCAATATACCACACTAGCAAGTGCATCTCGGTCTAATACATCACAAAAGGACATCATGATCTTAAATCCACTAATAAATGGCCCATCAATCTGTCTAGCGTGGTAATGCAGTTAAAGCCTCTTATGTAGCAGTTTCAAGGTTCTACCTAACAATGTAGAGAACTTTGTTCATCGTCGTGTTTGCTAACAAGTTGTCAGGAAAAAAGCTCAGGTTTCAGAATGTGAATTATCCATGGGAAGTACCTTGTAAACAAGCCCGGCACTGCTAAGTTTTGTGTTAAAGCCATGTCCAAAGACCTCATTAAAGCCCTTCTGGTGATGATCGTAGCGATGCCGGCTGGGATCATAGACACCACCAACATCAAGCACAGCATCCAGAGTATCGAGGATCTACAATGATGCCCAACAAGAAAAAGGGAAATACAGGTAAGTTAAAGATCTAAGAATCTAAGAGCACATTACACCAAATGAGAAGGTTTATGATTATTGTATCATATACAACTACAAGCAGCGATTTTTACATAAATTACACAACAATCTGTACTGTACTAATTGTTGCACAGACGCTAGTACAATGGGAATCATTCTGTCATGGATAAGAGTAAAATCATCAGCACCTAACTAAGACACACATCTAGCACAGATGCAAGCGGGACATTTAACTATTTGCTACTTTTAAGATGTGGTGTGTAACAATTTGCCACTCATAATCTATGATATATGGGCCATCATGTGTCTATGACATGTGTGTCCAGTGGCAAATTGTTAAATGCCACATCTAAAAGCAGCATGTACAATTCAGGACACCAGATTATACGTAATTAGGAGAAAAACACAACTCAGTTAAGTTTAACAGAGAGTTGCATTATTAGTATATACAGAATCTAATTGAAACACAACATGTCTACAAATTGTAGGAACTGCCGCGTACAGACCCGCAACGCAACCCCTAGAGACAGACAAACTTCACAGAACCAAAGTCATTTTACAACCCCCCCCCCCCCCAACCACCCCCCACCCAAAAAAAACAGAAAAAAAACAAAAAAAAAACCAAAAAAATGTAAGGCAATGGTAGGTTAATCGAGCCAGTGAGAAGGCAAGAGACCTGGGGGTCGCGGGTGCGGACGACGTCGGCGCCGGCGAACTGGGAGGTGAGGCGGATGAGGTAGCACCCGAGCGCCTCGTCGCAGTGGAAGCTGCCGTTGTGGGTCCCCACGCGCTTGCCGCTCCCCGCGCCGTTCGCGGAGCGGCCGTCGCCCGAGACGGACGAGTAGACCCTCAAGCGCTTGGGCGAGGCGGCGGCGGCCATGGGGAGAGGGTTTAGGGTTTGGGATCGCACGCGGGGAATGAACGTGACGGCTCGCTGCGACAGCCTCCAGGCGGCGAGCATACTACAAGTCGCGTGCGGTGCGGGCGATGGGGGATGAGGTGGTGACTTTCGCTAGATGTTGGGTTTTTGAGGTGGGGTTTGGTTGGCCGTTCAAGGCCGCCGAACTGCAGGAACAAGGCCCGATGCTTGCGTGAGAGGTTTGAGTTGTTGCCTTGTTGGGCTCCCTCTTCGCATCCAAGGGCCGGGACGGGATTTGTCCCCAACTTACGGGCATATAAATATGTATGGTTGGCCGGCCATATAAATGATCACTTCCAATAAATAATTTGTTCTCTTTCTAAGTCATGTAAAATGAGTGTATGTTCGTGTCTTTTGTCCATAAATACTCTTACTTTGAGTTAGATTAAACGTGTATGTTTAAGTTGGGAAATTGGAGGCAAACAAAATAGATATAGAAATCAATTCCCACTCCTTTCCATACAATGGTTAAAAACTCCTATCTTATTCCGTCCAGCAAATGGCGTACGTTTAGTCCCATCACCCCTCCGGCTGCTTATCATCTTCCACTTCCAAGATTTCAAACAAAAAAATTTCCATCCGGGCTAGGATACCACATGGGCGATTGACACATCTGCCACCTTCTCCCGTCGAATCAAGAGCCCTTTAGTCCCATCACCCCTCCAGCTGCTCATCATCTTCCACTTTCAAGATTTCAAACCAAAAAGTTCTCCATCCGAGCCGGGAGACTAGCTGGTCAAGGGCCGGGAGACCAGCTGGGCGCTTCAATTGCAGTGAGAAGGAGAGCCATCCCCATCCATCCCTCTGCGCGCGGATTCCCATCCATCCATCTGCTCGTGCGGATCTAGAATTTCCGAGAGGAAGAGGCATGGTGAGTTTGCAGGCCGCCGAGCGGCGTGCGGTCCCGTTCGTGGTCTTCACGCCACTCGCCAAGCCCCTGACTGCCGCGCTGAGCAGCAAGAGGGGTGATGGGATCTCAGATGAACTTATTGCATGCATATATCATATGACCACCACTTTTTACACTTTTTAGACTGCACCTTCGTAATGCATGATTATGTATGGTTGGCTGGCCGGCCACATGAATGATCAATAATTCATTTTCTTTTCAAGTCATGCAAAATGCGTGTGTGTTCGTGTCTTTTTCATAAATACTCATATTTTGAGTTAGATTAAACGTGCATTAAGATATTAGAGGTAAACAAAATAGAAATCAATTCACATCACTTTCCATCAACACGTTGCGGGGTTGTATGAGGGATTGGAGGCAAACAAAATAAGTATAAAATCAATTAATTCCCATGTTTAAGTTGAGTGATTGGAGGCAAACAAAATACCACAGTTTTCTATAGGATGGTTAGACACAACCTTGGCATTAAACTCGTTGCGGTTGCCATAGTTAAATTAAGGAAAAAGCGTGGACATATACTCTAGCCGCAATAGCCGTCTATTTTTAAAAAAAAAAAATTATGGAAGAAGTGTGAACATATACTCTGGCGAGAGCAAAACATTTTCTACAACTCTTGACTAATTTTGTATAATCTGCAAAAATGTTGTAGTTTTTTTTTCTCTAATTGGTATAGTTTGCCAGTGTACACATATTTTCATCTTAGAATTACTTATGTAAACTTTTTAACTTAAATCATATGAAACATTTATCTTAAACTACAAAATGAAACATTTATCTTAAACTACAAAAATACAACTAAGAGATTTAGTTTGAGTGTTTGAGGGAAGGAAAAAGAACTCATATTTAGAAAATACACAAAACGAAACGAGATGAGTTATTAGTGTATGATTAATTAAACATTAATTATTTTTAAACTTAAAATTTTGGTTAATTTGTGTTTTCTAACATTTTTTTTAAAAAAATACATCGTTTAATAGTTTGGGAAGCGTGCGTGCGAAGAAGAAGAAAAATCTTCTCTCTTTATCAATTTATCAAACGCAGTATATGTTGGGAAAGCAACGGCATTAAATAGCAATTCCGGATGAACGTATGGAGCACACAATTTTGCGAGCAAAGAGCCAACGTATTTCATAATCATCTATAACGGTCTATAAGGAATAAGTCCACTTCATATCCCCCATCTTTCCATCGAGTTTAACTCGTATCCTTAAACCGCAATACTGGAATCTTAACCCTCAAACTTACAAAGTCAGGTTAAATTAGATCATATGGTAGTATGTGTGGCCGGTTTTGCCGACATAATAACATCTTAATAAGAAAAAGAAAACTGAAAATACCATTAGGCCCATATGTAAGTGGTTACCTTACATTCTTCCTGTGATTCTCCTCTCATCTTTTCTCTTCCCCTCCTCTCCTCCATGTCGGGGAGCTTCTCCTGTCGGTGGTGAGCTTTGCGACGGTCAGGGTACTTATCCTGGTGGTTGCGGAGGGTGCCGGGTGTGAGGTGTCTAGAGAAAGAAGGAGATCGTCATCGTGGGTGCCGGCGTGGCGGGCCTGGACACGGCGGTCGCCCTGCACCGCCTCGGCGTGGACGTGACCGTGCTAGAGCAGGCGCCTGCGCCCAGATTACGGTCAAACCCGTTCAGAGCAGTCTGTCCCCAAAATCAAGCTAATCATGGCAGCCACCCACACAAACGCCATCCTCTCCACTTCCCCTCTCAGAGCAAGGATAATAACATAGCCAACTGCTAGCTCTATACTAATACCATGTCATTTATGGCAATCACTAATATAATAGGTTGGCTGTTAGGTTAGCTGTTTGTTTACATCTATTGAAGATTTAGATATTTAATATTAAACATTTAGATATTTAATATTCGCATGTGCACCTGATCTCCTCGTATCTGGTTGGAAGAAAGCATTTTTTCCTTTGTGTGTTGCGCTTCAGCCGAGTGATAGATGAAATGCCCGCTCCATCTTTTTCTTCCCTTCTCACTCCTCCACGTCGGATTTTGCTGACGGGTAACATGCTAGCGCCGGCTGATTAGGATCTATTAAACCTGCTCTCAAGTGCTGCCGCCTCCCGAGTCCCGAGGTGTTCCACGTCGCCGTCCTGCTCGTGTTTGATCTGCTGACGACGGTCGCGTCCCATGTGGTTTCTTCTCCGGATTCAATCGTGTCCAGGAGTCTAATTTGGTATTTCTCTCTTGGTGGTTTTCAATTCTCCTGATACATTCAATCTATGTGTTAGGTGCAGTAGTTATCTCGTTGATTGCTCAATGTTTTTCTCCCTATCGTCCTAGCAATTAGCAGATTGATCTTGGTTCCTATAATTCGTCGCTTGGAGGAGAGGAGAAGAAAAGAGAGGAGAGGGGAAGCAGAGGAGGAAGGTGAGAGGAAACCACTTATATGTGGGCCTCACTATTTTAAACCGACCACACATACTGCTATAAGAGTATTATACCTAATTTAACCCGGTTTTGTAAGCTTGGGGTTAAGATTTCCGATATTGCGCTTTAAACTCGACGGGAAGATGAGCGACGTAAAGTAGACTTATTTTGGTCTATATTTTCACGGGCCCAAGCATCCCAGGAAGTGCCTCCTTGTAAATGGGCCTGGACCTGTTGAAAAGACAAGCGGGCCACGTGGACTGGTACATGTACCTTGTGCGGCCGTTTCCGAGTTGAAACAATGTCCGCCGCTACAACCGGGTTCACTTTTTTATTTTTCATTCGAACGTGCACATCACGGAGATTTGTCTATTGCTCCGATATTGCCGACCATGCAAAAGCACAAACTAACATGATGAATGATGGGTGACCCAGCGTGACCGACCGCTGTGATCTCGGTTGCTACTACCATCCAGGCTCCAGCACACCACCTTCTTTTCTTTAGGGCCCGTTTGATACAACTACAACTCTAGCTTCACCTCTCCTAGAGTTGAAGCTCATCCAAACAGTTTCAGCTCCACCAAAATTAGGAGTGGAGCTGGGTAGAGCTCTCTCACAAAATGAACTACTCCAGACCCAACTCCTAGAGCTAAATTTAGGAGTTGGAGCTGTATCAAACAGGCCCGTAGTAGAGTAGCTGTAGCTCCGGAGCAGCTAGTGCGCTACCGCGCTAGCTCCAATCACCGGCCTAATTAAGTGCCCTCGTCATCAAGTTTCTAGTAGCATGTTCTTGGCAGGTTTCACGTCAAGTTTCGTCCTTTGTCGTTTGATTTGTGCTTGACGACGTTCCAAGATCACGGAAACATCAAACATGCAGGCAGAGGTAGTTCCCATGGTCACTACGCGGCGCCTTTGATTGTTTTCTGATGCCTACTACTACCTTGAAAAAGCGACGAATTTACGTGAACTACTCCGTATATATACCGATTTTACTTGAAGGTTGAAGCACGCATCGTAGCGTACCGCGTACGTTCTCTCGCATACATAAAAAACTGTACTATTTGCTCGCGATGCACGTACTAAGTTATGTGAATTAAATTAAAGAGGTATACACATGGTCAGAATTAACTGTGCCGTCCAGCCAGACGCATCGGTACTACAGCAGCAACGGACGGGTCAATTTCTGGGGACGTATGCTCGGCCACCTGTCGAGCGCCATCAAATGGCACCAGGACAATGCAACAATCGCATCACCGGTTAATTAAGCTGTTCAGCACGGTACAGATTGCAACATTTCATACTCCACAAGCATAGAAAAGCAACCAGTTAACAGGACAATCACGAGTATCACTTTAATTAACCTTGAAAATTAAACTATAGCTAGACCAACATGCTTTTCAACGATCTGTTTACCAACCTGGGGAGATTTTTATTATCTCTAAATTCCTCTCCTATCTTTACACACGGGATTGATACAGCATCAAACACACTAACACGCCACCAAACAATCCAAAGGGTTTAACAAAAACACAAACCCGTTTTTACGTAAAAAAGCGACTATATTTGGTGGGGTTTTATGAAAGAAAAAGGTGAGAGATCTTATAGGCAAATTTAGCTTCTACATTGGCGGCGACATCATAGGGCTAGGATGGACCCGGCCCGGACGCTGTTGCCCCGCTCCTGTGGGCCCTCCACCTCCCTGCGTGAGGAGGGGGCCCCACGTGTCAGCTTCCCGGCGCGGCGGGCTTTCTCCGTCCTCTCCGCCGCCGCGTCCGCCTCCATCTGCTCCCGCCTGCACTCCTCGCTGCAGAACGGCGTGTCCCCTCTGCTCGATCGGCACACGACCGCGTGAGATGAGATCCCATGGCGTTTGGCGAAGAAGAAGAAGAAACGGAGAGGGTGAAAAGTAGAGGGGAGAGATAGAGTGGGCGGCACCTGTACATGAAGATGTCGCGGTTGCCGGCGAGCCGCTTCCGGCAGAGGAAGCACGCGTCAAGGAAATGCGTGTGCCCTCCCCTCCCCATCTCCTCGATCGATCGGATCGCCGCGCGCAGCCACACCACACCAGCTTCTCCGCCGCCGCCGCCGCGCGTCGACCTGACTACTCCGGCGCGAGATCCGGTGGTGCCGTAGAATAGGCCGTGCGGCCGGCTGACTCCTCCGGCGAGATCCGGTGCGGATTCCCCTCGCTTGCGGCGGAATCGCCCGTGGTTTCCCTGGATTCTCTGATGCGTTTCTGCGTGTTCTCAGCGTCCAAAATTCGTGATGCTTGGTGGGGAGGCAAGCGAAGGATGCGCGGGCTATTATATAGTGGGAGGGGTAGAGAGGTGTCAGTAAGTGGGACCGGAGTGGAGATCCTGCGGGTCCCACCTGTCTGTGGGCTCTGGCAGGATTCCGCGTGGAGACCGACGCGCTGGTGTTGTGGCACGGGAGGTGGGCCCCACGGTCGCCGACCCGCTCGTCCATCTGCCGCCTTCCAGCTTGCCCCGGCAGTGCTGTGGAGTGGGCCCTCTCCGGTTGGTGGAACCAACAAGTCAGTGGTAGTAGGAGTAGCTAGGAATGGGGTTTCAGGCTTTGCTTCTGGATGAATCTTCTGACGATCACCGCCGGATCAAAACAGCCTTGCAGTTCAGTCTAAACAAAATAAAGAATGCCCGCTCCTTGCAGCACATGTACACAATAAACACGGAGATTTTATATAAACTACAGTTTCTCTATTTATTTTTCATGATTCTTAACAGGATCGGCAATTATTAAGCCCCTGTCAGATACTCAGATCTTCAAGATCTTGCGGCCCTGGCAGCTCTGGAAAAATCTTGAGAAAGTCACACGGTACCTTTGGTTCTTTGAACAAGAAGAAGAAGGGCTGTAGTTTCGCCGGCGACCAGTGGTCCGCAAGTTTCAGCCTGGAGAGGCATGCATGATGCACGGGTGTTTAGCCCCTCTCTCTCAAACACCCCCCCTATTAGTTGGGCTACTCACATCAACGACCTGGAGCACTGCAAGGCCTGCCTCGTGGCCTGGATCCTCCATGAAATGCTGACAGAAGAGCTGAGTCGTCTCGTCCCGTAATACTGGACCAGTGGACCATCGCATGGCGGGCGTTTCTTCTGCAGAAATCTTCTGAACTTTAGAATTAAGGTTGCCATTTCTATCTTACGGGCTCGCTTATTAATTAAGCGCACGTAGTACCGGTTGCGGTGTGGCTGACGCCTTACGGCGGGCAACAACTGCACAAGCCGTTTAACTTCATCCCAAAGGAATCCATCAAGTGTGGTTGGTCATCAGGCTGAGTTTGCAGTTTACAGGTGGCAGTCAAAAGAAAGCGTAAGAGCACAAAGATTGACTCCGAATATTGGCTGCCCTTATGGATTCCGTCAAAGTTCGAGCCATGCCTCAGCGCATTTTCGTTACGGTAAGTCGGTAATTAACATGGTTAATTAGTAGCTTCTCACTTGGGAAACTCCTTTTATCCCTTAACAGAATACCTCCTCGTTTTTATATATTATTTAAATAATCATAAAAAAATTTAACATGATAATCAATATAACATATACTCCCAAGTAAATAAGCAAATTCACATTTAACAGTCGCAAGTAAAAAAACAAATTTCAGCACGACTAGCGTGTCCTACTCGCACTAAAATTTATTATTTTTTTATTTGTACAAGATACATTTGAATTTGTATGTTAGTGGAGTAATATATCATATATTGATCTATCTTGTTAAAAATTTTAAAATTTTTTGATGATTTTTCGGATGACATGCATAAAACGAAATTATATCCTTGAGAGGTATAAAAGAGTGATATTGTGGAGAGTAAAAATCTAATTACATCGCACTTACTTACATGTTAGAGTCGAGCAATGACATCTTAGCTAAAAGAGTGATCTTGTGGAGACGTGTGTGTCTTAGAGCAGGTACAATAGCAGGCTATTAGCCAACTATAAACATATTTTAATGAGATAAATGATGAGAGAGAAGAGCAGCGGGCTACAGATCTGTAGCCATAAGTAACTATTGTATGAATTGGCTATTAGATTAGCTATAGATGAATTGGAGCTAGTAGTGGGCTGTACTATTAGACTTGCTCTTAGGAAACCTTGGGGAGTCTTGGCTTAAAAAATAAGCTGATGTGGAGCTATCACCTAGGAAGTTGCATTATGTGAGTTGTGTCGTTGTTGTGGTGTGGTTATTTTTGGCGTCTTTGATGATTATATATACACTCTCGAGAAACCACGCCACGAGACCACTTAACATTGGTTTTCCCTTCCCTCTTTCAGCGCATGCTGCCAAAACGATGTCGGGTGTAAAGTTGTGATGCCTACTGCCAATAGGATGCTTGTGTAAACTAATTTGCTCATCATCTAATATATTCACACACAACCATTTTGCGTGCTCGAAAAAAATACCACTTTACAATGTAAATGCCCTTATGAAAGGATAAATTAAACCGAACGGTTTGATTCCACAATCCAAAACTCTTCTAAAACACGAATATTAGGGAAAAACCTAATATCAAATAATTAGAAGGGGCAAAGTTTCGAACCCAGATCGGTTAACCCACCACATTGTGGAGCTAGCCGGAAGACCCTTGGACGTCTCTCAAATCCAAAGCTCTTCTCTGTTCGCTTTGGATAAGTTCCGTTATTTTTAGCTTAATTATATCTCCATATTATCATCAACCTGATTATATATTCATGCCAAACTTATAATAATAGGATTTATTGAAAACAAATTCTTCAACATTACTTAGATAACTTTTTTACAAGCTAATTGTTAGTTACAATACATAACATCTAATTTATACCTATAAACAAGTATTTATATCACCAACCAACTTTTATCCGCATTTCAACTTAAAAAGAGCATGCCTTAAGACATGTAACAGGTTCCAAAGGTAATATAAATATGCTTAGTTGGGTACTATTGTGCAACTAGACAGCCAACAGATCGAACATCAACAAAGGAAAATGAAGACGAGATGGAATAGAGAGGGCGTTACAATATACATTAGAAAAGAGCTCATAGGCTTCTTTTGACAGCCCGGTCTGAACCAGTACGAAGTAAATAGACCAAACACGAGAGCAGGACGCCTGGACGAGCATGCTGTTCTAACCAAACCTGTATATATATATATGCTCATCAGCAAGCATAATGCACAAAAAAAACTCTTCTATAATTACTTCACCGTTTTCCCTACCACAAACGTGGGAACTCGGGGTCGTGGTGGTGGTTCCTCTCGATCGATCCATGGACTCTTCGAAATGTCTAGTACACACCTGTACTTGTATATGTAGTATCACCCCAGTTGAACGCGTGTGTGCATGCATGCGTAACATGCATGCGCGCGTGAGTCTCCAATCCGGCAAAGGGCGCGCGGCTTGGTGTGGTGCCGAGCTGAGCTCTCTCTTGATCTCTACCTCTGCGGCTGCAGCTGACGCTGGGGCGCGCGCTCTGATCGGTGGTGGTGCGCCGCCGCCTGCGCCGTGGGAGAGTACTGCTGCTTCTTCCTGCGGTGCCTGTTCCTGTCCATCTCGATCTGCTCCCTCCTGCACTCCTCGCTGCAGAACGGCGTGTCCCCTCTGGCGAACGAACGACATGGTTTAGCTCGATTTCATGGTGTGTGTGCAGCCAGGCGGTGGTATGGTTGAGGGATCATCACCTGTACATGAAGATGTCGCCGGCGAGGCCCTTGCGACACAGGGTGCACTCGTCGAGGAAGTGGTGCGCCTCCTCCACCTCCGCGTCCTGGACGCAGAACACGGACGGGGCGCCCTGCCTCGCCGCGCCGCCCCTGCCAACGTTCACCGCCTTCGCGCCGCCGCTGCTGCTGGTGGTGGTGCCCGGCCGGATGGCCTGCGCGCTGCCGCCGCCGGAGAAGACCGCGGCGAAGTCGGGGTTGCCGAAGGCGTGGAAGTAGGACGAGGTGAAGTCCATCGATCGGGTCGTCGATCGGCGCCGCCGCGCGCACGTCTCGCCGCGGCACACCTACGCAGTCCGGCCTGCCGGATCCGGATCAGGCAGGCGAGCGAGCGACCGAGCGACGACGGCGATCGACCTCGGACTCTCGGAGGAGGGGCAGAGGTCGGGCGGAGGTGAGAGGCCGTTGGGAGGCAGGCTTAATACTTGCAGGGCAAAGAGCTTAACTGGCTAACTGTTTTACCAGCTAATCTCTAGCTTAATTTTCTTCGTCTCCAGGGGAACCACTCGATAAATGCGTGATGTCTAATTTGGAAAAGGGAAAATGGTTACAAAACACAGCAAAAAGGTGACCTGTGTTGATTCCGTTGCATGCATGCACCTAAAGATAGGTTATCACTACCGTGTGGCACCTATTTTTACTGCATCCATGACCCTGGTGACCTGGCCAATTAATTCGCCAGAGACGACGCATGAGTAATTGTCTGCTTGACAGGCAGCATTTCTACGATGTATATTACTCCGTACGAGATTGCATCACGATTTGGCCGGTCGATCGCCATGCAAGTCGAGGCTACGGCCAATGGAAGTTCGACATCACAACCATTCGTGATTCCAAGGTACCTTACAGATACTCTAGGATTAATTAAATAGACATTCCCGTCACGTCGACAAGCGCTCCAAGACAACACACAAAATTGCCCTTCATTTGTTTCGTTGTGACGAGGTTCATGATAAGCTGGAAGCACGCAAAAACATTTTTATACGGCCATGATGGCGAGCGAGGACAGGAAAACGGTGGAATTTCTCTGCTGCCGCGCGCTAAAAACCAATTGAGCCGCGCACCTGATGGTTTCGTGCACGCAGCTTCCTGAAATCAACGTACAACAACTACGCAGTGCCCTTTCGTTCTACAGGAGGTATATATGCATGCGATGCTCACCGTGTACACCTGAAGGCTCTCACATGGTTTGGCACTTCGGTTTTGAGTTTGGACGTGGACTGCGTTGTCGCGAGCTAGCAGAGGGGACAGCGGCCGTAACATGGCCAGCCAGCACAGCACAGCACAGCACTGCACTGCACCGCACAGCAGCTAGCGCACCACGGCGATCGAGTTGGTGCCAACCGTGTGCGACGCGACACGTACGTGCGAACGCGCGCGTGCTCGTGCTGAGCTCGGTCTCGGTCTCGACGGATCGGTCGATCTCACGTGTGCGCCCTGAACAACCAGCAGCCGCAGCCTGCATACCCTGCCTTGCCTTTGCGCCCAAGTGGGTTCGTGCTGGGCTTCAGGCACAGGGGCGCGGGCAATAATTTGGCGTGCTTAGATGTCGTAACGTGTCAAGAATCTCAGCTCGCACGGGAAGAGGGCTATCAAGTGCACCCTTGCGTTATTGAATTTGGCCTAGGTTGCCTAAAAACGATTCTTTTCTCTCTTGGAGCGTGCACTGTGAGCACATGCATGGTTGCAACTTGCATATACCAAGGCCCAGCAATGAAAGATTATCTCTCTATTATATACTAAAAGTCCATAAAACTTCCTACAAACATTCTCAAGCCGCCACGTGGGAGTCCTATAAACAATCTTAAAACGTCACGTGTCACTTTAATAAACAACTGGACCCACTATTTTTAATTAGTATTAGAAAATTGTTTTTTCACCTCCCTCTCCTATCCCCACGGGCTCACATCCAAGCAGCCCCCGCACGTCCATACGAACGTACAAACGTACGTAACGAAACTACCTACACACTACTCATTGGAAAAACAAATAAAAAACTATTCATTGAAAAAAAAAATGAAAAAGAACATATATATGTATGCACATCTGCACCCACGCGCGGTTGGAAAAGGAGCGATCAATCCTTACCCCTTTATTTTCTTCGGTTGTTCACTATCTAAAATTTTATAAAATATGTGATGTATCTTATCTATAAAAAATATTGCATCCATATTACCTATATATTTTAATTACAAAAAGTTATCATGTGGACATATAGTCTTAATAACTATATATGTGTGTTTTAATAACTGACAACTAAGTAATCTCCTAAGCCGCCAAGTACATTGTTGACCAATTAAATATGGTTGATCAATTATTTTATACTATTCATTTATCTTAGCAATAAATTATTTATGTATGTGCATACGTATTGTTTTTATTTTAGATACCTTGATGATCATAATTATAGGCCATTAAACTTCCTATAAATGCTTCTAGACTTCTAGCCCGTTACGTGGCACCCTATAAACACTTTCGAGTTGGCATGTGGCACTTTAATAAAATAGAGAAATTCGACCGTCGATTTTCATTTAACTCAATGAACCCATTATTTTAAATCGTTAGATCTATCATAAGAAAAATGTCCCTCTGTTCATGACTCTGCGCAGCATTCTCACGCATCTACCTAACCTACCCTGCCTCCGTTCCTCTCTTTTTTTTTTCTATTTCCATGATAACTAAAATTATTATTATTTTTCTTTATGGGCCTAAAAATATCCATCAATAGACATCAAACTACTAGATCTAGCAAGCTCTTCCTCTATACTCTCTTTATAACACAGTAAACATCATACAAATATTTCTAAATAACTACATGGCACTCTTAAATTAGAGAAAATCCAAAAAATATTTAACCATCGATTTCTACTTAAATCGATTTTAGGTTGTTAGATCTATCTTTTTTAAAAGAATGATCAAATGTACCAAGGTCGCACCAACATATATGACCAATTATTTCATTAATTACAGAAAAAAGTTTAATGTGATAAAGTTATATCTACAGTGCAAAATTGTTCTACAGTACATTGTCATTGTTATTGTAAATTTAATAGAGAGGAGATAATATAGTTGCACAAACACACGGCTTTATATAAAAGTCCATTAAACTTCTTGCAAACACTTCTAATCCATCACGTGGCATCCTATATATACTCCTAAGCCATCATATGACGCTCTAATAAATTAAAAAATCATATAAATTTTGATAAAAGGAAACACATCTCATCATTGATTTTCACTTGAATTGTTGATATGTTATTTTAGGCTATTGGATTTATCTCATCAAAAGAGAACAACAGGACCTCCACCGTTAGGTTAGATTGATCTAATTAACCAGAGCCTCAAAATTAAAGAAAAAAAATTCTATGATGCACCTCCTGCGGTTGCAGGAGATCGCCATCACCGTGTCAAGTTTCTCTGATGAGCTACAACTTTATATCGTATACAACACAACTTCAACTTTATAAACATGGATCCGTCCCATTCATATTTTCATGTGCTAAATTGTTCACCTAGACAAACCAACAATTGATATATACTGGAGCATAGTCGTAAAACATGCCATAGACATATAATACCACATATAAGCAACAAACAACTAGGGGTGAATTAGTTTTCCGGCAAGTTCAAGTAAAACCGAATTTACGTGTGGCGCGATGCATACAAACAGAGGTTTAATTAGGAGGTAAAAATATGTAGTATAAACCACATATATTGCAAACCTAAAAACTATCACATGATATAAAAATAAAAGTTTGAGATTTATCCACATCATCATGAGTAAAACTTTTATTTCCAATATACCTCCACAAATGCTTGTAGGTCATCTTACAGCAATGCACATAATAAACTACCATGATTGTTTAAATTCCTAAGTCTTTCCAACAAAGAAGATAAAATAGGGTAGATATTGTGGGCTTCGCATTGAATATTATGCACAAGTTGCGTGAACACACCGTGTAAACCAACTGACACACACACACACACACACATATTATATTGGGAGTAAGAAAAAGACATTTATACTCTTAAGACCGTCAGAATTTTTGTTACGGATAAAATATAATGAATTTAAGGGTAACACTTTACACATAAGTGTAATAAAAAATGCCTAATGTACATTAGCTAAAAAAAGTTATAAAGAGTGATTGTCTGGAGTATATAAATTCCTAATGTTTAATTATAAATTTTAGAGTAAAAATATTTAAATCATGACGACACTGATGAAAAGTCGACACTGCAATAATAATCACATATGCGGAGTTATTTTTAGCTATGAAATAATATTCGTAGGCTATGTGAAATCTCAGGCACTCTTCCCCTTAATTTTTTTTCTCCCCTAAAAGAATAATCTCACGCACTCTACACAAAACAATGAGTTGTTTCCCACAATCCAAAATCAATTTGGACTACAATAGACTTTTTTGTTTGGAATATATATATATATATTCATATACACTAAGGCACCCATTAAAAATGCAGCATATAGAAAAAAAATACCAGGTGCATCTTAGCAACGAGATACAATAATAAGTTGTAAAATATCTAGCAAATTTTACTACATACCAGAAAGACCTATCAAGTTCTATCAATTGTTGGCAAACAATAATATGGGCACAAGTACCATTATTTTCACATAGGGATTTTCAACTTTTTAATTGTATGAATAGTTATTTTCATCACAACTACGCAAATGATTTTTGTGAGCATTCTTTTCACATTTGGCTCAAATGTGCAGCCTTCTATGTGGTGAGTCTCTTGCCTCAAACTCATGAGTCATCTTTGAAAATATTTTTTGCAATCCTTTTACACAAAACAATTTTAGTGGAGTGCTTAAACCGCAATGTAGCGTTGAAGCTTTTACACATAAAACTATTTTAGTGGAGCGCTTAACCCGTAAGATAGTATTGAATCGATCTACTCCTTTTGTTATAGAAAAACATAGCTCATTTTACATCATAATGATATTTTATTCTTTCAAAATTTTTATATTTCTCGTCATACAAGTCATATACTCATATTAAACACACCAAGAGGTGAAGATAATGATAAATCAATTCAGTAAATTCTATCCTATCCTTTAAAGTACCTCCATGGGTTTCTCCACAATCTGCATGTATAAGCGCCTTTAAGGTGGCAATACAAAATCAATAGCCTTTCTTATAATAATATGATTAAAAGTTATTTTTTTTCTAATAAATTATTATTTTAAGATTCAGGTTGACTAGGTCTTTTCTTCAAAATACCGTAGGGTTTCACATATTAAAAAGAAGCGCTATACAAGATATGTATATTTGATCAATTAAAAAGAGGGGATAGCAGGATGGTTAAAAAAAAACTTACGAGCAATAAAAGTTTCTCGAGACTTCTCAAGGAAAAAGTAAACAATAAAAATTCAATTAAAATGAAAAATGCTTTACTTTAATTTCAACTTATTTTGTTAGAACTATTTCCAAAACAAAATAATATACATGCCCGCGCGAATGCGCGGGCTACCTTGCTAGTTGGTAGTAAAGCATGATGGTTTGTTTTATTAACTAACTCCAAAGTCCGCTTTAGCGCATTACCTTTGGCCCTTTTGCTCTACTAAAACTAGGCGGTAAAGAAAAGAATAATCTTTTGCTATATGCCAGGATTCCAATGGGTTGCACTCCGTACAAATGGAACCGGAGGATCGAATTTGTTCGATGTTACTGTTCGTGATATATGACCTGGAACCATATATTTTTGGATGAATGTAGTACTAATTTTTAGAGAAGTATAAACCCATTTACATTCGTAGAATCAAAGACTTCGTAGGTTGATGTCTCCTGAAATGCAGGAACAATGAACAGGGTTGTTATATATTTGGTTGCTACTATATTTTAGGCTAAGATTTGGCATGCCAATTTTTTGTTGGCCACAATTTTAACAAGATCTGACAAAAAATTGTGCCTATGACATATGAACACCAGGTAAAGTTTTTTCAAGCCAAATGTGTAATAGCAACCTAACAATACAGTAAGCTGGTCAAACTTCCTTATCAAAGATATAGCAAAATGTGGCTACTACTAACCAAACATCCCCGGAAGTGACAAATGTGCCAATTAAGTAGATTACATGAACTAGCTGCTAACCAATATGTTACGCGGTTATTTGTTATTTATATTTTAAAATAAAAAATATTTATGTTTTAATGATTTTGAAATTCGTAATTAATAACAATCGAGTTATACTCGGCCTATAATTTTAGTTGTAACAGTTCTATATTTGACAAGTCTAGCTAATATTTAGAATAAATAAAACTAGTAGATTGTATTCATATTGGAGTCTCAATTTTCATAACATGCATATATATGGGTTTTTACGGGATCCATGATATTTAATGCAAACCTACCATGATCTATATAATCAAGTACTACTAGATTTTTTTTAGTTGATATAAGAGTTTTTATGGCGTTCACGAAAAAAAGTAAGAGTTTTTATGATGTGTTCGATTAATTTAGGTGTAGTAGATGGATGTATTATTTGGTATCAGAATAATTTTATAGTGGACATGAAGGTGGGGGCTACGGGTATACGGTCTTCAGTCGAAGTGATACTGTACGATCTACTGTATCCTAATTCTTACAGGTAACTGAAAACTTCTTGGCAACATTAGAGCACCACTGATTACGTTGATGAGCACGGTACTGCAGCTCAGTTGCAAATGCAAATTCTTTATGTCAAATACTACAACTTCTCTTATTTCTTCCAGATCAAGAAAAAAAAGAGTTAAGCAAAGGCCGTATATATACAGCACAGCATACAAATGAATACCTACAAACACATACCAGTTGCACACACACGCTGCTGCAGTGTGGGCAACGGAAAAACAAAGCCTGTAGTAATTCACAGGCACACGAGCTAGCTAGAGCTAGCGCTCGAGCCGATCTTCAATAATCTCCAGGACGGCTGGGTAGACGCGCAGGGCTGTTCGCCGCCGTCGATCGAGCTGAACACCTATGGATTATATTACGTGTGTACAGCAAACAAGCCGATGCCGGAGACGACATATTTTTTTAGATAATAGAAATGGATTACATCTCCGGCTTCTGTCATACACATAGCCATAGCCGGAGACGACACATGCCGCGATAATATTTCTACCGGGCCCAGACCGGGATGCCGTGCGGGCTCTGCCGCCGCTGCGGCTGCTGCTCTCCCCTCGCGGCGGCGGGCTGCATCTTCGCCCTCTTCTTCATCATCTCCGACGCGTCGTCGGCGTCGATCTGGCGCTGCCTGCACTCCTCGCTGCAGAACGGGGTGTCGCCTCTGCACGCGCGCACAAAGCAGAAAACCACCGGTCACAAACCAGAACGCGCGTGCGGCAAGCTACAACGTACACTACAAACTCCATGCGGCGCTCACCTGTACATGAAGATATCCTTGTTCCCGGCAAGCATCCGCCCGCAAAGGAAGCAGGCGTCGAGGTAGTGGTGGTGGCGCCCGCGGAGCTCGCCGGCGACGTCGACGTCGCGGGACGTCGTGCGCCGGGGGCTCGGCGACGGTGAGACTGACTCGAGGTTGCCAACGGGCTCCAACTCCAAGGTGGCGGAGAAGTAGAAGTAATCCTCCATGGCTCGGATCGGTGGCCTCTTCTTAACTTGCTGCTGCTTCTTAATTGGTTGCAAGGGGGGAGACAGAGACAGTTGAGATCTCTGGGCTGAAGAGGACTGTGGTTATATAGAGGAGAGGAGTGACCGGAGTTTCAGTTTGCCTCCTCTGAGTCTGTTCTCATCTAGTTTTGTTAGTGTGTTCTAAAATTTTGGCGGACGATGAATTACGGATGAAATCAATTATTTAATGACACAGATGAAAAAATTAAATACTAGAAAATTGAGAGATATGTTTAAAAATAATCTAAAAAGTGCTGAAGATATATATTTTTTTAAAAAGGTGACATTCAATAGGTCGAGAAGTGCACCCACAATAATCCATAACCCCTGTTCTGAATGGCTTATGGACAACGGATTATTGCCGGTATGTTTTCTAAGCTTTTAAACGGTAAGATCTTCTTTTTTTTTAAAAAAAATCATCAGTTTCTTAGTAAACGTTTTTAATCAACTTATCAACTTAATTAATTTACAATATATACAGCTCATTAGTTTTTTCTTTTAGATAATTGTTATAAACTCGGTTTCATTCACCATCCATCAGACTATCACTATTTTTGAAAAAACCCTTGGACTAACAATAGATTGCTCTTGTCGATCATCTCTCCAGCAGTTTTTATATCATTGATGCTCTTCTTAGCTGAACTTGTTTTAAATACATTTGATCCGTGAACGTGTATCATTACCAGAGTGACGATAAAATTAAAGATAGTACAGAAGAATGATAAAAAGACAAATTATTAATTACGTCCGCGGAGACTTTGCATTAACGTAGAAATGGTAAAAATCAATCCTGAGGTCATGCATAACGCATAGCTGAACATTTTATTATCATATTAAAAACAACCACGTTCGTATGCATGTGGCGTTACTATGATCTTCCCTTGCCAAAAGTGAAAATTATATTGCTGCAGGAAAACGACAAGCTAATCGTAAACTCATTGTCCCAATTGAAGTCTTTGTTAAAAGCATGGGGAGTAAGATGTAAGAATACATCCATCCTCCAACGAAAGGTTGGATCCTCCAAATTAAAGAAAGCAAGACAGAAAAAAAATTGTGGTTATTACCAGGTTAGGCATCTAGCTGGCCAAGTGGCAACAAATCTAAAGCTGGCTCCTTTGAGTGCTATGTGGCGAATCAGGTGGCCGAGCAAGAGCAAAACCAGGGCGCAGGGTGGCAATTGGCATGGTCTTCTGATGATATTATAAGGAGCAGCTACACCTCGTGGGCTCACGACCCCTATATTCTATGCGTTCGCCCCTTTCCATTTCTCGGCCCCTTTACTTTGTAGCACACGGCCCGTCCAATTTGATGGATAGAATAGTTTTGTTTCTAGAAGTCATCACTTGCTCCTGGTTTTTGGGTGGTTTTGTGTGTTGAGCAGTGCAGCATGCTTGCTTGGAACACCACTAACATAGTTGAATTAGTATGCAAATTACATGTTTAACTTTTGTTGCAAGTGAAATAAACTAAGATATTTTAGTCAAACAGATAGGTGGTCAGCCATGGCGTAATTCTGTATTGGAGGTCAAAAAATCCTACACCCTCCGTCCAAGTTCATTTCTAGCATCTCTCATTTATCTCAAAATAAGTTTACTTTTTATAATCATTGAATCAGAATATATAAAAGTAGAGGATAATTATATTAAGAGAAAATTCATGAAATGCCATTGACAAACACTCTAATTCCAGAAATGCCATTGACAAGCGCAACTTCCTCAAAATGCCATCGTACAAGCGCTTTTCTCCCCGAAATGCCATCACAACCATAGTGCTGTTAACTCCTATCCGTTAAGTTGTATGAAAAGACAATCTTACCCTTGGGCAACCTTTTTGCTAAAACAACATCATTTTGTATTGTTTGCTCACAGAACATTATTTTGAATTGATGCATATTTAAATTCACAGACGTGTATTATTTTGCTACCAATCAAATTATTTCAAAATTAAATTCACAAATTTTGGCATCAAAATTATTTCAGAAATTTTGCTATCAATTATCAGGGTTGTGATATGAGCAAAAATAGGGGCATCAATTATCAGGGCAATACACACAGAAAGTACCAATCATGATCAACATGAATTTTCACAAAATAAAGGGTTCACAGTACTTAGCATCACAACCCAATATAAAGAGTACTTAGCATCACAACCCAATATAAATGGTTCACAGTACTTAGCATCACAACCCAATACAAGAGTACTTTGCATGCTTAATACATCTTAGTTCAGACAATACATGTGACAGTAAGAAACTCAATCAATTATTCTCCTCTTGCTTCTAGTCCCCATTGCTGGACTACTCTTCTTGCTTCTAGTTCTCATTGCTAGACTGTCATGTGGTACTTCATTATTCTTCCTCCTTTTGGCAGGTAGAGTAGTAGGTTGTACTGTTGGGGATGGTTTTCTCTTGATTTTCTTGTCTTTGTCCTCCTTCTTCCCCTTCCCCTTCCCCTTCTCCTTCCCCTTCCCCTTGGCAACAGGTGCAGCAACATGTTGTAGTGGCACAATGGTCATAGAGCTGAAAAAAAAAGTTATTTAGCAATCGATTTAAGTTGGCATTAATCAAGTGCAATGGGTACAGTAAAAAACAAAAATGGCTACCTTGGTAAGGATGGCAAAGGCTCATTATTAGACTCAAGTCCAGAATCACTAATTGTCCCACCAACGGCACTTTAAAATCATATATTACACATTAGTTAAGTTGCTGCAGCCTAGGAGCAATAAAAGGTTAACAAAGTGGAAAGTGGAAGATAGAAATTTCACCTTGATAGGCTAGCCAAGATTTGACTTGACATAGCAGTAGGATCAATGTTTTCAGTGGCAACAGTGGCAGCAGAAGTAGATTTTGGTTTTGATTTCCTTTTCAGTTTTCTACAAGAAAATGAAAATAAGCGAAGTTTGTTGGCAAAGGAAATCAACATGAAGATATGGATATAGAAATCACCTTTGTTTTGCCACTAAAGCATAGGCCTCTTTGGCTTCTGGATCTGCTTCTTTGCAACTTGTCCATCTATGGCCATAATTTTTGTAGATAGGACACTTTTGCTGACATTTGGTACCTGCTTTTCTCTTGCCCTTCTTATTCCCCTCAACCCCACCTTTGTGCCTTAAAGTTTTGGGCCTCCCTGCAGAACTCTTCAATATTGGAGGATAAAGAAAGAAATCACGTGTATTCTTTGGCCAATGGGAAATGTCAGTTAGAGCTGGAATGCGGGCTGCATATGTGGCTTTAAATCTGGCCACACTATAGCATTCATCAACATAATCATGCACCTGCACCCCCCTAATAGATGTGATGAAGCACAAGGCATGAGCACAAGCTTTCCAGACACTTGCCACTCTCTACATGTACATGTCTTCTCTTCAAGATCAACTACATGCCTCTTACCACCTTTTGTGAAAATGCAATAATAAGATTATGTCCATCAACATTAATAATGGGAATTGCAAGTATAAAAATTCAATACGACATACAACATAACATTACCTGGGTCTTTATCAGTAACCTCGGCAATGAAATCATCACTTCTATCTAGGTCAAAGTTTAGTCCTCTACTTTTCTCAAGAAGCTCCTTCATGACACAAGGTAGAATGATATTACCTTCCAATTTGGCTACCACCTTCTTCCTCACACGAAATTTATCCATCACCTTTTTTCTAATCTTATCAACCAATTCGTATGGCATAAGACCTTTATGCTTTCTGATCCAATTGTTGAAGCACTCCGCTAAATTGTTGGTGATGTAATCAACCTTAGAGTGCGTGGAGAACTCGCTTCGCATCCATAACCTACAAAATAAGCAAAGACAAAATATTACATTCAACTTCAGTTCACGTACTGAAAAAACAAGTATTCGACTAAAAAAAGATACCTTTTGTGGTGGGTTTTCAAGTATGCTATAGCTTCAGGCTTTACTTCACCTATTGAAGCCATGTGTTCATCGAAGTCTATAGGAGTCCATGCATATGCTGCTGGCCATAAATGTTCCTCAAAAACTTTGCCATGGAACTTGAGCTTGAAATTGGACACAAGGTGTCGCATGCATTCCCTATGCTCTGCATAACCAAATACCTCTTTAATAGCATAGTCAATGCCTTTTCATGCATCTGAACAAATTGATAGTCTAGCTGGTTCACCAATAGCTTCATGCAGTTTCTCCATGAACCAAAGCCATGTCTCACTAGTCTCCGAGTCAATAATACCATAGGCCACTGGGTACAGCCAATTGTGTCCATCAATAGCACATGCAGTTGCTAGCTGACCTCTATACTTTCCTGTCAAGTGTGTACTGTCAATTGCTAAGTATGGCCTACAACCTCCTAAAAAACCTTGAATGCAAGGGTGTAGTGCCACAAATAGCCTTGTGAATCTCTTCTTGTCCTTGAATGTCATATGGTCAATGGCGACTATACTTCCTGGGGACCTCTTCTCGATCTCCGCCTTCCAACCATATAGCTTGTCAAAGCTACTATCCCAGTCACCATACAATTTACTCATAGCTAATTCCCTCCCAGAATGTACTCTCTTGTAGGGGATGGTTAACTTATGTGTGTCCTTTATCCTCCTTTGCAATTCCATGGCCCCAACACTAGCATCCTCACGTAGCCACCCCATAACCTTATCACAAACCCACGCTCTCTTTGCATTCCTGACCTTCTCGCTTTTTCTAGTACTAAGACAACCATGGTACATCTCATGGACCTTAATCTGAAAAAGAAAAAATATGCAATTAGATAAGAAAATAACAAAATATGCAATGTAACACATTAATGTAACACATACCTGCACTGCTGGACCACCATGAATAGTTGACGCATGAAGCCTCCATCCACATCCTTCTTTGATACATCTAGCTCTGAATCTACTAGGATCAGTTTTTTCAACAAAAAAACTCGAATTCTTTCTTAATGGAATATTGAGCCACAGCCAATCTAAACTCACACATTGAAGGATAAATAGTCTCAACAGTCATGGGTGGGTTTTCTTTGTCATATGCAACTTGTGGGATTACTGGATCTGCCTGAGCATCTCGTGCAATCCACTCTTCATCATCACTATCAGTGATACTCAGATCATCTCCCCCTTCTACCTCAGGCACATTATCAGTTTCAGCAATAGAGTCATCACTCTCAGATGAAGAGTCATCACTCTCCGATGAAGAGTCATCAATACCAACTGAGTATTGTTTCTCATCATCTACACCTACATGCTCATAGTGCGGAATGGATTTTCTAGGTATGCATCACTTTTGGATGCCTGACTAGTGCTGCCTTCCTGAGTAAAAAATGCCTGAGAGGGGACTGAAAGTGATGGAGTGCAAGGTACAATAGCTTGGGACAAATTAATTTGGTTTCCCAGAGTGATTACCACTTTACCCCTTTTAGTATGATGAAAGCACTCCAACATTGCTGTCAAGTCCTGATCTTTGCATATTGGAATGAGTTCTTTGCTACTAGCATGAATATAATGCAAACATACAGTTTCATTTAAACCCCATGGATATTTTTCACAAATATCACCCAGAAAATCTTTGAAGTTTGTTACGTCTGCATCAATAGGCCATTTGAAAGAAAAACCACCCGGAAATTCAGGCCTACATGTCTTACCCATTATTCTCACGTCAAGTAAATAAGTAGAAGATGTGTCCATTCTGTTGATGAACACATCGTCGATGTGTGAGAAGAAAAATGTGAAAAATGTAACTGCTCTGACTCCCTAATAAAAGTATATTACTCATAGGGCATAAGATGAAAGACATACCCATCCGGAATCCAAGATGAATCCATCCCCTCATGTTCATGCTCTCCTTCACTGTGCTCCAATCCATCTATAATTCCACCACAATATCTCATTCACATCATGCAGTACAAATTCTTCAAATGAAACCAAACAAAAGAAGGAAAATGGAACCACCTGAGAGGGATGTGCCACCTGCTGGGACTATTATGCCGCTGCTAGTGACCACCGTACCGGCGCATGCAGCCCCCGCACCACCCCCTGTGCCGCCACTTGCCACCTCCTCGCCTCCCGTCGCCTGAGAGCCTGCCACCGACGCGCCGCCACCTGGAGCCGCCGTGCCGCCACCTGGGAGCACCACATCGCAGTCGAGGGCCGCCGCACCGCCGACTGGGAGCCCCGCGCCGTCGCTAGGGGCCGCCGCGCCGTCGCCTGGAGCCGCGGGCCGCCGCCTGAGGGTCGCGCGCCGCCGCTTGGACCCGCCGCGGTGACCCGCGCCGTCACCGGGGGCTGTCACGCCGTCGCCTGGAGCCGACGTGCCGCCGCCTGGGAGCCCCGCGCCGCCGCTGAGGGCCGCCGCGCCGCCGCCGAGGGCCGCCGCGCCGCCGCCGGGGGCCGCCGCGCCTGAGTGCCGCGCGCCGCCGCCCGGGAGCGCCGCCTCGCTGCCGCCGCCGGGGATCCCCGCGCCGCCGCCCGCGAGCGCCGCCGCGCCGTCGCCTGGGGGCGCTGCATCGCCGCCGCCGTCGCCCCCCATCGGTTAGGTTTAGGGTTCCCTCTTTTTTTCCCCAATCTCTTTTCTTTTACCGCCTGTAGACAGTATAATTTGGAGCGAGGGTAATCTGGTCATTCTGGTAAAAATAAAAATTCTAACGGTGTGGACTAAACGGTAAGTTGACTATGATGGCATTTCAGAGAGAAAAACGCTTGTACGATGGCCTTTTGAGGAAGTTGCGTTTGTCAATAGCATTTCTGGGATTAGAGTGCTTGTCAATGGCATTTCATGGATTTTCTCTTATATTAAGAGTAAATAAAGTAAGAGATAGTTATATTGGTATTTGATAAACTGATGGTATTATATTTTTTTTTACTTTTTTATTCATATGTGTGGAATGGGTGAAAAATGATTCTATTCTGAGACGTTGATGAGACTATGACTGTATTTGTGGAATTGTAAATGAGATAGTGATTATTTTTTTAAGATAATGGAAATGCTTAAATGGGAAACTGATACACTTCCGTTTTGCCGGCTGCCCATGCTTTTCCCAGCAAAAAAGAGTAACATCACTTTGCTGCCTATTCCTATCGGTAGTTACATCCTGCAAGCTCTTTTCGCTTGCCATCTGTCGCTTAATTGCTGAAACCATGTGCCGGCCTCTACAGCTACAGCACCTACACATAGTTTCAGACTCCAGATCAAGCCTGAAATGCAGCGATCAGTAAGCTAAGGGCCCTGCTTTAATCAAGCCTTAAGTACGTGTCTTTCAAAGTTTTGCGAGCTTATGAGAGGCAGACACATCGCACGGTTAGGCGCGAAAACAACAGGGGCACAGGACACCGATCGTTCCATTCCATCCCTTGCGACCACCACAACCATCAATGGTAGTACAGCAATGCTCCTCTTTCCCTTTTGGCCTCTTAAACTAAAGAATTTTTCTTTCGTCCGAATCTTTCTTTAACTGCTCTTTTTTTTCGTGTCACGAACTCGGGAAGGCGTGCATATTAGCTTCTTGTAATTTGCAAGATGCAAGTGGTTACGAGACGTATTAGTACCTTTTGTCAAAAGGGAAAGAAAACAAGAAAGAGGTTAGTACATGAGACGCTACCTTTGGGACACTTTACCATGCATAGGTTGATTGATAGACAATGCATGCTACGGGTGTGTTTAGCTTACGCCAAAATTGAAAGTTTGGTTAAAATTGGAACGATATGACGGAAAAGTTAAAAGTTTATGTGTAGAAAAGTTTTGATGTAATGGAAAAGTTAAAAAATTGAAGAAATATTTTGGAACTAAACTCGGCCTACATTGCTACGACCGATCTGAACTGTACTCCCTCCGTCCCAAAAAAAGGCAAACCCTGTGTTTCCGTGTCCAATTTTAACTGTCCGTCTTATATGAAATTTTTTTATAATTCGCATTTTCATTGTTGTTGAATAATAAAATATGATTAATATTTTATACGTGACTTGTCTTTTTAATTTTTTTTATAATTTTTTTAAATAAGACGGACGGTCAAACGTTGGACACGGAAACTAGGTTTGTTTTTTTTTTTTTTTACGGAGGGGCGAAGAATGTAGCAGCTAACGTCCTACTACGGTGCTAGTGTACTGGATTGCATGTGTGCAGTTGATCGAGGGGGTGACCGGTCAAGTCAATCGTCCGAATGACGACGCGGACAAAAGGTGCTGGCTGACTGGGTCTAGCCACGCGCACAAGCTGGATTCGCTTGATAGTTTTCGCGGAAGGACGCTTATGATTTTGCTTTGTGAGAGAGAAGCCTCTGCTGCTGCCTTTTTGCATGGTTCGGTTTCAGCGGTCGGAGCGTGATAACTAGCCATAGGTTACGCCGTGTAAACAGTGAGCGACATTGGGCTCAAGAACGTCGGAAGCCTCACGAACGTCTTGGGATGGAAGTACGCAGATGGCTGTGCTGTGTCATGTTTGTTTTCGGTCACCAAAAATTACGCACTGTTAAGCTCAAATTGCAGTGCTATGTGATAGCCTGATAGGTGGTAGTATTAGTTTTCCCCATCTTTTAAACTGTACTATAGTTCTAAAAAAAACTGTACTATAAAAGATCTCTAATTACTCATTATCAAACAGTGCAATAGGTCATCATACTAATCGGTTTGTAGTACTGCCTTAATTCGTTTGTTCGTTCGTTAGGAAGCCGGCAGCGGCCCCGCCTCAACTGTTCATTTTCTTTACATTTCTGCATTTGGGGCCAAGGCCAACGGACCAACATCATGTTGCCGGTCAGGATGGCCAAGATCATTGCACAAAAGCAGCTACAATGCCTTACCGGTTGATCTGCTCAGGTGACAAGTTAATAGTACAGAATCGAGGCACACATTTTACCCAGTAGGATCTACGGCTCTCAAGGATGAAAGAACTGGTTGCAACGACACAGCATCAAAGTTCTCTCCCACAGGTCGAAAAGGAAGGGAAAAATCCTCACACAAGAAAAAGGGGAAAACGCCGTCATATACACGTATTTTCTCTACCGCGCTATTTCTCTTGCTCTAATACATGCACAGAACAAGACTGCAAGGGTGATGGACAGAAAACTGGAATTAACTCGGAGCTTGCTGCTTGCCCTGACTCATCTGAATATTCCTTGTGCGTTCATCTCATCTCGATCGGGCGATTCCCTTTACTTTCTCAAGGGGACCCCGGATGCTTTACTTGCGCCTATGGCTTAGCTCAGGACGGGCACATTCGCCGCGACGGCGACACTGCCGGCGTCGAGCCTGTGGCGCTGCTCGTTTCTTGCAGCGCGCTCCCTCGCATTCGTGGCGCTAACCCTCACTGCTGCTTCGTCCATCTCCATCTGGTGATCCCGGCACTCCTCGCTGCAGAATGGCGTGTTCCCTCTGTTTGTTCACAACAAAAAGAAAGCTCAGTCAGAAACTATTCAGAATCAGAGCTCAGAGAAGCTGATCGCTTGGTGATCACTTTGTATTCTCCTGCCTAATTATCCAAGTGATTCAACCGATAGGAGCAAAATTGAGCGTGAAACAGACCTGTACATGAAGATGTCGCAGTTCCTGGTGAGCGGCTTCCGGCAGAGGGAGCAGGCGTCCATGGCGTGGCCGGACAGGCAGGCCTCGCCGCCGTCGAGTGGCTCGATGTCAAAGAACGAAGAAGAGGACGACGACGCTGACGCCATCTCGGTTACAACTTACAACTCGAGCTGAAAGATCCGAGGAGAGAAGACCGATGAGCTGAGCAAGTCTTGGGGATCACTGCCAATACGGGAGAGACTTGAGGCTCTCCTCTTTTATAAAAGAGAAAGGGGGTTAGTGGTGGTTGCTGAGTTTGGTGCAGGGGGATGCGCGAGAAACCACGGCTAGATTTCCAGGAATCCGTGGCAAACAAAGCACGGCTCGCATCGCCAGCACACACGCGGGACACGGCTAAACTGGCCGAACCGGCGCGGCTAGGGCCAACACAAGAAGTGTTGCCCCGGTTTTTGTTTGTTTGGTTGCTCGCGATTAGTCTCCCCTGGTTGCCTTGGAGACCTTGGTGGCGCCGGCGTTGTGAACTGCAATGCTGCAGAATCCACCGGAAGATCTGTAACAAACGGGGACCCGGTTTCTTTATGCGCAAATTCGATTCTATGGGGACCTCTTGTTGTGGCCTTTTGCTAGCTGTTTGGTTTTGTTTATTGCGCCGGTCTCGCCACGTGTTGAGGAGTGCACATGACTAGGACACATTAAATTACACCTTCAATGCGGTATTAAGGACATTAACTGATGATAGTTTAGTCACATTTATTATAGTGTACAATAATTTCGAAACAGAGAGGACATGTTTCTACGTGAAGCATGTTGCTGGCTTTATGTATTTTCTCACTCCTTTTTGGAGGAGAAGTTGGCAATGAAAAAGAGGAGGAAAGGCAAGGAAACTACCGGAGCGAGGAGTGAGTAGTGAGGCTGTAGCAGCGATGGCGACGCACGCGTCTCTAGTTCTGTACCGCACCGTGTAAACTTTGGAAGCGTCACCGGTGTGGACACGGACAATTTACGGTGGATCCAGGAACAAATTGCAGGGGATCTAGTAGTTAACATATGTATAGTTGCAGTCCGTGTTTGATTGGTTCTTGACACGGATAGGAATTCCCCTTGACCCGTGTTGACCACGTTGGACGTACGCCAGACTGAGACACTGACGATGACAAACATTTGTGTCCGAGCCGACGACCCCATGGTCAAGTAACTAAAGTTTCTGTCATGCATGTCCTTAACGGACTTCAGGGAGAGACAGATTCAATTCGTCTGCTTCAGTTCAGTACGCCAGAAAATTCATAGACGTGCAGGGCGCGTTGGCGTGTCGAATGGTCCACGACTCCACAGTGGGAGTGGATCTACGATCCAGGAAGCACATTTTCCGTTTCGTGGTTAATGCACATTTTCTGTTTTGTAGTTTAATGACCTGGTCTGAACATGCGTGATCCACTGATCCCATACTATAGAATTGCGCGGTGCAGCAGTTCAGTTCATCAGAACGGTGACCGGGATGGACAAGGGCATGCGTGCCGAAATTTCATTTCATCAATATTTCTTCTTGAGTTTTGCTTTTGAAGGAGATTGTTCTTGCTTCTTAACCATATATGTTTTTCTCAGAGAGAATCAGAAATATTGAATTCTAAATGCTGTAATTTTTTTTACGTATGTATGTAGATACTCCCTCCGTTCTAAAATATAATAACTTTTAGCCTTCAGGATTTGTCCCAAAATATACCACCAACATTCTCTTCCCAACCAATCACAACCCTCCACCATTAACTTTCCCACCTACCTCCACTATTCATCCAATCACAACTCTACACCACCCACTTCTACCTAATTTCTTAACAACCGTATATAATTCTAAACTTTTTATATTCTGAGACAGAGGGAGTAATAGTTTTTAGAATCAACTAGCCAAGCCCAAAATGTTTAGAATTCATACTCCGTTTATGACGGGCTGGGTATCTTAGCCCGTGTAGGCCCATGAACGTCATGTTGGGCTTTGTTAGTTTATGACGTTTTTTTGGGGAATAAGTTCACTATGGGTCCCTCTATTTGTCGTCAAGTCCGATTTTCGTCCCTTGACCACAAAATCGGATATGACCCGTCCCCCAACTTACGAAAACCGGGCAAACATGGTCCCTCGGCGGTTTTGATAGTGGTTTTGGCTGATGTGGCGCCTACGTGGCTAATTTGACTCGGTCTTCATCTGACTTGGCACTGACGTGGCGCTTACGTGGCAAATCGAATCGAAAAATAATAAAGCCCGTGGGACCCACATGTCATTTTCACACATAAAATTTTTTTAAAAAATAGTGGGACTCACGTGGGCCCCACATGTCATACTCACCCCCTCATCTTCTTCCTCCCTTTCCATCTCCCCTCTCTCCATATCTCTCCCCTCCTCTCTCTAGCCTCCAGGCGCCACGGCTCACTGGGTCACGGGAAGGTTCAGCGGTGGTGGCCAGCGACGCGACAGCAGCCGCCGGCGGCGAGCTCCACCTCTCGGCGCAGCCGCGCGCGTTTCTAACCATGCGTGCGCGCGGCTATCTGATGGCGTGGGCGGCACGGATGGATTCATGGATCTAATCCCGTGCCAGCACGTAGCCCCCGGCGACGCGACGGCGAGACGACGACGGCTGGCGACGTCGCTCTCATGCCGGCAAGAGAGAGTACATCTTCAACTGCCAGCATTAATTTGCATCGAGAGAGAAAATTAGCAGTAGCATCAAATAATATCGTTTCAGTTTCGTCGTAATTAAGCTAGCTAGCCATGTGAGGAGTCAGTTCCATGCCTCGATCGATCGTCGGCGTCGAAGAGGGGTCAAGAACTCAAGATTAGGCGATCGATTCCATCTGACTCATCGGCTGAATCATACGAGCTACCGTCAATTAAGTACTCGTACTAACGTACGCGTGTAAATGCTATTGACTGCATGAGAGAACTGTACAAGTCCTGTGCTTACACAATGTACTACGGCCTAGCCATGATCTAGATGATGCAGCAAAAGACCTTTTAATTAATTAGTCGATCGACAAGCGATCCATGCATGCATGGGAGTAATTTACAGGCTTCGAGTTCATACACTGTTGCATTGTGACTTGCGAAAAACACAGTGCTACACTGAGAATTAATGATGGTCATCCGCAGCTAAGTAATGATCTGTGAGCAATTAGCAATTACCAGTTACTGACAAGAGGTGAGTAGGTAAAGGCATTATTAGCAAGAACTGCATCGGATCAAAGTTCATTCCGGTGGTCAAAACTCAAAACCCCAGCGAGCTGAGGCGTGAGAGCGACGTCGCCGGCCGTCGCCATCTCGCCGTCGCGTCGCGGGGGGGTTACGTGCTGGCGCGGGATTAGATCCATGAATCCATCCGTGCCGCCCACGCCGTCAGACAGCCACGCGCGCGCGGGTCAGAAACGTGCGCAGCTGCACGGCTGCGCCGAGAGGTGGAGCTCGCCACCGGCGGCGGCTGTCGCATCGCCGGCCGCCACCGCCGGACCTCCCCGTGACCCAGTGAGCCGTGGCGCCTGGAAGCTGGAGAGAGGAGGGGAGAAAGATGGAGAGAGGGGAGATGGAAACGGAGGAGGAAGAAGATGAGGGAGGTGAGTATGACATGTGGGGCCCACGTGGGTCCCACTATTTTATTATTATTTTATGTGTGAAAATGACATGTGGGTCCCACGGCTTTTTAATTTTTCCGGATCAAATTGCCACGTAATCGTCACGTCAGATGAAGACTAAGTCAAATTAGCCACGTATGCGACACGTCAGCCAAAATCACTGTCAAAACCGCCGAGGGACCTCGTTTGCCCGGTTTTCGTAAGTTGGGGGACGGGTCGTATCCGGTTTTGCGGTCAAGGGACGAAAATCGAACTGGCCGACAAATAGAGGGACTCAAAGTGAACTTATTCCTTTTTTTGGGCTGTTTATGACGTCCTAAAATTACAGCCCAAAATGTTCGCGGGTTCAGATATGAAAAGCGGGAGAACCGGGCCGTTTCATACATGGGCTTTCCGGGTCAGCCTTTCGTATTTCTGGATAATTTTGCTTTTGCTCAACTGTTCATCTTTTTCCTCGCAATTCAAGTATACTATCCAATATTGCCAGATTCCCCTCTAGAAGTTCCACTTCGTCAGATTAAGATGGAAACATGCACACTTTTTTAAGGTGAAAACATATGACCATCTAGTGCTAAATCATACCGATAAAATACAACACGTTATTCGGTTATTGCTCTTCATGTTGCTTCATTAGAACTTATCTTGAGGGTCAACGAGCATGTCAGCTCTTCTGCCCCGAGATAATTGATTACTTCGATTGGCCAGACGATGATGCGCGTTGGGTTGACAAAACGCATTGGATTCAAAATATTATCGGCGACCTATCAGCTGTGCATGAGCTAAATGTGGATACGCGAATCCACAATCGTTTTACCGGGAGCACGCATTCCCTTGCAAGTTTCAAGTCACCCGATGAGACTAGCCGATCATGCATGGAACACGCCGCATCAAACCATCCATCAACAAGATCAGATCGATACTGGATAGGTCACACACGGCCGCGATACCTATCAACCTCGTGAAGAATCAGACCAGACTCCAACCTAACCATCCCACTAGGAGAGAACGATGGCGCCCCAAAATTACAAGGAAGAAAAGAAAAAGAAGAGAACGATCTGAACCTGCAACAGCGACCCATTCATCCATCGCGGCAACAACACCACCCGTGAAGAAAACGGATCAGATTTCGGGGCGGCTGCTACGAGCTATACGACCGATTCGCGGCCGGACTTGCAGCCGCCGCTGCCGTGCAACCAATCCAATCCTAAGGGGGAGGTGATGCCACTGGCGTCGCACATGACGCTACCGGACGGCGGGTTAATAGCCGGGCGCGGCATCCATCCATCCATGCGACCATGCGTGAGGCATGGGGTCAGTCTCCGTCACGCACGCCGCGGAGGCAGGCGGATCGCGTTGGTCATTGGTGACGGCGGTGGTGGTGGTAGCAGGTAGCGCGACGAGAAGTGCGTGCCCTCGCTGCGATTTCGCTCATCTCAACCACGGCTGTTTTAATGGCCCTACTAACTGAACGCTGCTGCAGTCCAAAAGGACCAACCTTTTTATGAAGGCACGCGTACTCACTGGCAGCATGCATGGGGATGGGGTGCGCTACTGGTGTACTGCTTACCGACGGTACTAGTAGCGCGTTGGACGGACTAATAACTTATTTCATCGGGTTAGGCTGCATATGCACGAATTTGTGCATCATCTACGGCCTGGAGCCCTGGACGCTAGCACCTTGTCACTGCATCCTTCAATTCCCTTTGTAAAGCTTAGCGGTAAAAATTTCTCACAGATCGGAATCGCTCTACGCCGTTGGTCGATCTCTTCGCAGATACGTCAAGATCGTAAGGTAGAAGTAATTAATTACTCCGTCATAGCAGTGGCAGTACTAGTACTACTCCCCTACTG